ATTTTCTATGCATGGAATCACATATAATAGTATACTTTTTAACCTGGCTCATACACTCAACATAATTATTTTGAGTTTCAGCCATGTTATTGCTTGTATCAGTAGTTCATCCCTTCTTATTGCTGAATAAGTGTCCTATTGTATAAATATGCCTCAATTTGCTTAGCCATTCATGTGTTGATAGCCATTTGGGTTTCTTCTAAGTTTTGGTTTTTACAAATAAAGTTGTGTACGAGAGTTCTGGTTGTACCACGTGTCTCTGACACTTGATATGGTGAGTGTTTTTAATTTTAGATATTCTCATATATGTGTAGAGATATCTCACTATGGTGTTAATTAACGTTTCTCTACTGACTTATTGTGTTGAGTATCATTTCAAGTTCTTGCTATCTGTGTATTTTCCTTGAAAAAGTTTGTCTTCAAATTATTTGACTTTTTAAATTAGGTTATTTGTTCCCGTATTGAGTTTTGAGAGTTATTTCTTTATTTGCATACAAGTTCTTTGTTAGTTACATGCTTTGTAAATATGTTCTCATCTACACCTTGCTGGTTTTATCCTCTTAAAAGTCTCTTCTGAGGATCAGAAGTATCTAAGAAATACTTGTTTTGATACTCATCTAGGAAGTATCTGTGAAATATATAGGATCATATCAAAGAAATCTCTGCCTAACCCAAGCCCTCAAAGATTTTCCCGTGTTTTCTTCTAGAATTTTTGTAGTTTTAGGTTTTACATACAGTGTTACATTTTGACTCTGTTACATGTGATAGAAAGAAAACCAGAACTTTCAAATACTGATCATATGAAACAAGTTAATATAGCAGAGTGATTAAGAATTCAATATCTGAAGTCAGATTGAAGTTCTAATCTCAGTTCCACCATGTACTAGCTGAGTGGATCTTGGTCAAGATAGTTGACTGTCCTGACCTTTCTTCCTTGTCTATAAAATTGGGTAAGCATAGTTCCTACATCACGGGGTTGCTCTGAGGGTTAAGTGAGACTACAGGTAGGAAGCACTGGAAAGCACATATAGCTAATAGTCAGTAATGTAATCATGTAAACTACAAGAGGAGAGTGCCCATGGCATAGAAAACAGATTAAAAAATGACTCCTGCTTTGTTGAATGAATGAATTACACACTTGGACACAATTGCCTTCGAATAGCATAGAGGACAGATTGGGCAATGTTGATACAGGACCAATGTTCAAGTCCAGGGTGTGATCTTCTTCTGAATGGAATAGACAATGGGGAAGTAGAAGCAATGCTTTGGATCAGCTAGAAAAGAATGACAATAGAGGCTGAGAGTACACTTAGTCAAAGATTACCCTAAGTGACTATTTATGACTAATTCCTGAGCAAGGCAATATAATGGGGAAAATACAAATGAAATTTTGCACAGTCCTATGGAAAGAGATCTCAAGTCACTTTTAACCAGATTTTTGGTGCCTGTGAAGTAAGGAGATTGACCACATCCTTTCTTGGGTCCTGTATGGATGTAGCAGCTGGTGACATTTCCAATCTGTGCTGTGGGGGTGGAAGTGGGGGAACAGAGAGGTTGTGATCCCTGAAAATGCCAGGTAGTTGAAATAAAAAAGCAAATCTAGAATTGAAAGTTGTCAGAGAATAACTGGTTCCTTATAGAGCCATTTGTGGCTAATGGAAGAAAAAGTGGGAAATGGGGCACTTTCCCAGGGTCTTTGTTCTTGGCGAATATCACATGAAGTACTGATGTTCAAAAATAAGATAGCCAAAGGAGGGGAGGGAAAGCAGGGGAAGGAGGGGATGGGACACTGGCAGGGTAGATGCACAAGAATCGAAAGTTAGAGCATTCAACCATTGGATTTAATTTCTCTGAAGATCATTGTGAAAGATATACTTTATCACTTTTTGTATATTTTTAAGTCTTCAGCCATTCTGTTACTGCCATAAAATGTTTTAGGGCTTTAGTCTCCCAACTAAAGGGGAGACTATGCCTTTGTGTTCATAGGCATAAAAACAAATTTAAACATTTGTTCAAGGAAAATGAGATTCGTGTGTTCAGATAATATTAAAATTCCTTTCAAAGACAAGAGTTTATCAATTTTAAGTTATTGAACTGTCATGGCCTCTGACTTCTTCTGTACAAGTAGATAATTGAAAATTTACTATACATATAACAGTAATGTAACCATCACTGAAAGTTTTGTTCAGTTTTGGTTAAAATTGTGGGAGAGAAAAACTCATACAGGGTTTTATCCATTCACTCAGTACAATTATGGGCACCTGTCATGCCAAGCACTGTACAGGGTGTCTTTATGTGTTTTCACCTGTACGTTTTTGTATTTAATCATTCCAACAATTGCATAGTTTTGACAAAAGAAACTTTGGTTAAAGAAGTTAAAACTTGTCAAATTCTTACTGTTAGTAATAGGTGGAGCTTTCTGGGAATCTGTAATCTGGTTGAGTAAGCAGGAACCTTAATAAAAACACGTTAAGGTAAATGCCATCATAGATTATGCATTAGCCCAGCATAGGTTCCAGAGGGAAGCCTGGGAAGGGCATTTTTAAATTATAGAACTTTGACCAGAAAATTGGGCTGTTAGAAGGGAAGGAGGTAGAAAAGAAACTGAAGGTAGAGGTGAAAGTTTCACAGAGGCATGATGGCCAGAGATGCCTGTGTGGTCATGGAATGGCAAGCTGCTGTCACTGTGGGGTAGAGTGGTACAAGATATCAGCATGTGACAAGCCTGAGGGCAAGATGAGGTGTCACTGTAGCAGGCAACAGGCAACCAGCAAAGAACCTCCACCAGGTGGATGGCTGGATCAGAACAGCGTGTGGTCATCTGGGTAGGAGGAGCCACTGGAGGCAGGGAGGCTGGTGGAGGCTGTCTAGGTCCTGGAGGCAGCACCTGTAGAGGACCTGCCCTGGAGCCCTGCCAAAAGAAAGGGACAGATTCAGTTCCTGTCAAAAATATTCTCTCATAACTCTCTCCTTTACTTATTTCTTGAAAAACAAGGTAGAATTCCCTAATTCCTTGATTTGTAAGTTTTTTGTTTGTAGCTTGTTCTTTGTCTAGCAAGTAAAAATGATCTTTTTTATTGTTTTTTTTTTTATGGAGAGGAAGAGACAGGGAGAGAGAGAAACAGCATTTTTTGTTGTTGTTCCACTTATTTATGTATTCATTGGTTAACTCTTACTTGTGCCCTGACCCGGGTTTGAGCCCAGAACCTTGGCATATGGGGATGATGCTCTAACCAACTGAGCTATTCGGCCAGGGAAAAAGAGGAACATTTTTTTGGTGTCTGTTTTTTCCCAAGGTTCTGAGTAGTAAGGGCTGGAAATGAAACACTAGTGATCAGTAGGGCATTTCAAAAGGATGGAAGCAATAGAATGTGATTGAAGGGGAAACTTAGTGATGACTCCCAGATTTTAATACTGAATGACTAAGAAAATGGTTGTTTCCCTGTGGGAAATAAGACAATGATTTTGGAATAAAGACAGTATGCTTATTTAAAATAGGTTCAATTGGAAGTTGGAATAGGATTTTCATGCAGAAATATCCAGAAGCTGTTGAAAGGCAAAGCTGGTGTTCATTAAAAATTAGGGGCTGGAGATGTAATAAGCTGATGTCTACATAATATGGGGACATAAAATTGTGGATGGTAGTTGTTTGTGCAGATGGTGGCAAATGAAAAAGGTTGCCTAGGGCAGACCCTTGAGGGAATACAACAGAAGGGGGCCCATCTACAGAGGAAAAACTGAGGGGGGAGGGAAAGAGAGAGGGAGAAGCAAGAGCGATAAAATATGCAGAGTTGTAGGGGAAAAGGGAGGAGACTGAGGATGTAGCTGCAGGGTCTGTGCTTGATGATAAAGTGTCACTTCCTCTGGGCACACTTTCTGCCCTCTCCCTTTGCCCCACACCCAGGACTTTCTTCTTTAATTGGCCTGAGCACAGATGACATTGAGGACAGGTCAACCACCAGTGCTTGCTCGGGTATCAGTTTCCCCTTTAGATTAAATGCTCCTCAAAAGCAAGGACTGTGTGGGGTCATCTACATGTTGAGTACAGGATGGATGGAGACTCAGGGTAGAAACTAAGGCAGTTCCTGGAGAGCAGTTTCAGGAGTGTTGGGAAGGAAAGTCAGACTCTAAGGTGTTATGAACAGGAAGAGAGCAACAAGTGAAAGGGTGGTCAGGGAGTTATGAGAAAAAGGAGAGAGAAAATTATATCAAGAGAGGAACAGTAAGAATATAATGTTTAATTCTAGGGCAGGAGTGATTTGAGTGTGTTGCTAAGCTGTGGTGACAGCCAGTGTAAAGGAGAGAGGATGAAGGTGGAGGAACGGGCAGTGAGAGTGGGTGATAGCTGATGGAGTGACTTTGAGAAGGAACAGGTAATGCAGGGGAGGGGTGCACCTCTGACAGAGGGCAAGGGTGGGTGAAAGTGCAGCCAACTGTAGAGGTGAGAGGTCAGAATGAACTATGAGAAAGGGATCTATGGTCTAATGGGGAGAAAAAAACACAACCAAATGACCTTGAAGTTCTAATGCTGCCACTTATCATTTTTTTCAAGGCCTCAACTTTCCTTTAAGTAAAATGGGGGTACTACTTCCCAACTTCCCAAATCAGGTGGTATTGTCTGTCTTTCTTGGTTATTTGTTCTTTATTTGAATTTTAATTTTTAAAAATTTACAAAATGTTTAGAGTGTTCCCCTTAGAGGGCATACAACTTAGAAGATGGTCTGGATCTTATCAGCAAAGTAGGAGGTGGGTCATCTGAGCATGAAGTGATACCATAGGGCTGAGAGAAGGGGAGAAGGTTTTCAGGGTGGTCGGCTAGGATAAGGAGGTGAAGGCGCAAGAAACGTAAAAGGATGTTCTAGCATCAGTGAGAACCCAGGGGGAACGAGAGGCCACTGATGTCTGATCCTGGGGGAGTCAGGCCCATTAGCTGAAAGGAAGGTGTTAAGGGAGGTGTGGCCACAAACTTCCTGGCTGAACGGCCTCACAGGTGAGGGTTATAAGGAGGTGCGCACCTGGGCCATGCGTCCCCGGAGAGACTTTGGGAAGGCTTGATTGCCTGCTTTTGAAGGTCAGGTGGGAGGGCCTGTTCATTTCCACGAAGCTGCAGCGGACTCTCAACCCTGGGACTAGGACGCCCTGTAAAAAGCTGCGTGAACCTGTGGGGAACGCGGCGGGGTAAGTGGGCACGTTCCCGCCGCTGCCAGGCTGGTTTAGCCTGGATCAGGAGGAGGTGGGCCATTTGTGGTGCAGCGCGTTGCTGCCGCTGCAGGAACTTGAGGAACTTGGTTTGCTTCGCGTGCCAGTTGCACAACCTTGGGCTTTTTTTTTTTTTTTTGTAAATTGCTGAATGTAGAGAGGCCCCGCCCTTCCGCACCAGGCCGCGGGGCTGCCCCTCCCGAGGTCCCAGGCGGTGCTCCTTCTCCGGACGGCGCTGGAGGCCCTGGCAGTGGCGGCCCACGGGGCCCATGGCGCTGCCCGCCTGGCTGCAGCCCAGGTAGGGCGCTCGGAAGAGGCCGGAGGGAGAGGGTGCGGGAGGAGGGGCCCCCAGGGCGAGGTCTCCCCAACCCCATCAGTGTCTGGGCAGGCACTGGCGAGCGCTGAACAATGCAACCCTGCGCCCCACACATCCCTGAGCTCTTGAGGTATTAGCTAGTTTAATTGTTTCGATAACTGGTTAGAAGGCTCTGTTATTTTCCTCATTTTACAGATGAGGAAATAGGAAGAACTGCGGGGCGGCCACTCCTTCATTTTGTGTGCTCTTTGTCAGTCCTTCCCTTCCCTCCCCTCCACACCCAGTGCCGTTCCCTTGACTTTCTCAGACTAGTGTAGCAGGGTGAATTTTAGATCTACCCGCGGCCAAAGCACCTATTGAATGTGTATATTCGAGAGCCCAGTTCCAGAAAAACTCATTCAGTGGTGGAGCTCGGGGTATGTTTAACCGAGACTCCAAGTGATTGTGATGCTGGTTTAAGGAAGGTATTCCTCCTCCCTACCCAGTCAGTAGCTTGTGGCATTTGTAGGGTGCCTGAGTAAAACCATAAAGCTACACTGTGTCTACTTTTCAGCCTTACTTTTCAGAGGTTTCACATCCTCAACTACGAGAAAATCTTGTCTACACTGGCAGGGCCACTCCCACTACCCTCCTGAACCCCCTGGGGGAACACTTCAGACAGTGCTTGGCTGGATTCCCTCAGAGGCATATCTGTCAATCATCTCTTAGTCATCTCTCCAGCAACCCTTTTTTAAACCCATCTTGACTTCCCTTTTCTGGCCTGAGCCACTAAACTGCCTTCTATGTGTGTCTAATGAAGGAAACATCTGCCCTTGCAGCACAGGAGGCAGTGGAGAGATACTGACCCTATTCACATAATGCATTCTAAAGTCAGGTATGTCCAATGACTGAATTACCCACCATTGGCGAATGCCACCATCACTGCTCCCCTTTGGTGACTGTGAACCAGCTATCTCTCAAGTTCTGCACTTACAACACATATTGACTATGTCAACCCCTTCCCCATGTATTTTTTCTTCTAAAAATATTCAAAGCAGTCTTTGCAACACTTACTTTTATCTGTAGGTGAGTAGCAAGGTTAGAAGTTTATCAAGGATGAAGTGGATTTTGAAATAGAACCATATTTGGCTTTAAGCAATATAGGATACTCATTAGTGGAAGGTGTATGTTATGGTTTTTTCAAAATCTGATGTGCATTAGAGGGGTAACCAAATAAAAGACTGATAGAGAATAATTTTCTATTGTTTGCTCTGGTTGACCAGTAGGTTAATTCAAAGATGTTTCTTACAGTGTTTAATGGATTTTTCTGTATTTATAGGTATAGGAAGAATGCCTATCTTTTCATCTACTACTTAATCCAGTTCTGTGGCCATTCATGGATATTTACAAATATGACAGTCAGATTCTTTTCATTTGGAAAAGGTAAAACTCTGAAACACTTCTTGATTTTTACTTTTTTCCTTGTTTCCACCTAGTCTTGCTTATGTTAACTTTTTAACTTCTGTGAACTTTACCTAATACCCTTCACTCCTCCAAATTTAGTGACCACATTTTTCAGAAACCATACTTCTTGCTTAGTACAAAAAACAAAACCTTTCTGGAGAAGTGGGGAGGTAAGATGAGAAAAAGAGGTTTGGCTTCCCCCTGAAAAAGTATTCATGGCCTTGATACCATTTCTCTCTTCCCACTTGGTTTTGGACTGGACATTGGCAGGTGTGGTGTGTTTTGAGGAAATCTGTAAATTCCAGTCTGTATGACATTTCATGCAGAAAAACTAGGAACTAACCAAATTTTTTCATTATTTTTAACTGCCCAGGTTTAAGGTAACTGGAGACTACTAATTAATGTGTCCCTAAGAAAATGATACCCTTTGTAGGTGACTCATCACTTCTTTGGAAGTTGGCATTAATGGTTTAAATTACAAGCTTCTTCTAGTTTCCTAAAAAGTAAAGTTTTAAAATAACATTTAAATTTTCAAAAAAAGGAATTACTAAAAGACTGTCAAAATAACATTCTTTTCATGTCCCATCCTCACATGGCATCATCACATTTTACAACTGTTGAGTGACTTGACAATTTGAGCAATTGCTGGTTTCAGCTAAAAAACAAACATGTATGTATCTGGGAAAAGTCATGCTGTGCTCATCAATTCAGACTTCTGTATCATCAGGAAATTAATCAACTTTTGAGGTATCCTAAACTATTTTATGTTGCTTTCTTCTTACTGCAAATCTACAGAAAAATTCTTGTCTTTGTTAAGAACCTTCAAAGGTACAACCTCAGGCTTGAATTTCAGCTATGTTGGGAGTCTTCAAGCAGAGGAAAACACAGGCAATGGGAAAACTTCCTTTATATTTTTAGAGAAAACAAACAAACCACTTCTAGACCTTGGAAGTTGGCTGTGGCTTTGTAGGCATGTCACAGGTCATTCACAGCACAAGTCACGAGCCATAAATTCCTTTGCTACCTGGCCTTTCCAGTGGGATAAATTGCTTCAGTCAACAGTGTATTTATTTCTTAATTTTATCCTACTGTTATAATTATAAAAGCTACTTATTAAAGAAACATAACCTATTCATATGGAAGGCAGACTGAAAATGACTAAGCGGGGTTTCAGTATAATTCTTGAACCAATGTATAAATTAACTTTGCAGTTTATAGAAGCTGATGACCTGAATCAGCAACACCTGCTCCCTGCCTCCCTCATAGAGCTGTGTAATGGACAATGCTCTGTCAGAGCAAGTGCAGGCCACTGGGTAAAAGCAGACTGTCTTGGCCTCAGAACTCACCTGCGAAATGGGGATGATATTAACAGTGTCCACAACAGAGCAGCTGAGAAGAGAAACCCTTAGTGCTCGATGGTAATTTATGACCATTAGGCAGTAAAGAGAGCATAGTCTTCCTTAGATATTTCTTGATATGGAAAGATTTCATTTTAAAATTTAAACCAACATATTTGTCCTCTTTGGAGGAATATTTGTTTCCCTCCCATTTCAGCTCTCTCCAAATTCAATCTTTCATTTGGGCCCTCTACAGTGCAGACTTCAAAAGCCCCCACCAGAGGTCCAAGTTCTGGTGTTCAAAACTAACAAAAATCAAGGCGGGTGAGGGAAGGATGAAGAGGGTAAAGGGGACCAAATACACAATGACAGGAGATTAGAATTCAGGTGGTGGGCACACAACAGAGTATACTGATGTCATATTATAAAGATGTACACCGGAAGCTAATGTTGTCACCAAAATAAATTTAATTAAAAAAACTAGCAAAAGTCCAGAGAATGCTAAGCATGTATAGGACACACATACCAGATACACATAAGCTGTTATTTGATATCATGGCATCATTAATATAATTTCAGTAAGGCTTCTCTGAAATCTTATTTTTCTCATCTCTCATTTTCTTGTCGGTGGAAAAGCTGTGAGAATAGCTTCTGTAATAAGCTCACCTCCAGCCTGTTTACACTTTTTAATCCTCACCTGAGGACATGTTTATTGATTTTTGTTTTTAAGAGGAGGGGAGTGAGAGAAAGACAAACATTGATGTGAGAGAGAAACATCAAGTGGTTGCCTCCGTAGGCACCCTGAACCTGAACCTGGGTATTGAACCTGAAACCTAGGTATGGGCCCTGAGTGGGAATTGAACCTACATTTTGGTGTATGGAATGACGCTCCAACCAACTGAGTCATCTGGCCAGGGCTCCAACTTGTTTGTGTTTGATGTACTCTAGATTCTACTGGTTTGTATGCAGGAATTGTTTTATATTCTTGCAAATGTGGAATAAGTGCTATAGCTTTGGATATGGAGCCATCTTTTTCAAGGTTTTACTTCTTTTTGGAAGAGGAGCAATTAAAATATACTGTAATATGAACTGATTTCTTCAGTTGCATACTCTTTATGATGTAGTGATCTAGGAAATTTCTCATGTGTACAATGAAAATGGGGGTAAATAATCTCAATTTTATTTAAAAGTGCTATGGAGATGTGGGTTATGCTCTAGTTTTTACTTATTATATCTGTATTTTTAATTCACTGGATGCAGATTCAATGGTTGACACTTTTTATGCTATTGGACTTGTGATGAGACTTTGCCAATCCATCTCCCTCTTGGAGTTGCTGCACATATATGTTGGCATTGAATCAAGCCATCTTCTTCCTAGGTTCCTGCAGGTAGGTTTTTATGATGTTATTATTTTTTAATCTGTGTTACACAGTACTTGTTTTATTTATAGCCTTTCTTGACTGTATGTCCATTAAAAAGCCAGTCCTTGCATATTGAAGACCCAAGTCACCAATACAGAGAATTCCACGAAAAAATTACCCATCCTCAAACACTGCCCTGTTAGAAGAGCGAATCGGAAATGTTCAGGGCAATGAAGCTTGTTGCTCTGTGCAAAACTACAGTGCTCCTCTCCTGGAAGGAGATTTTTTTTTTTAATTTTATTTTAATCATTGTTCAAGTACAGTTTTCTCCCTTTTACTCCCACTCCAGCCCACCCTCCCAACCCTCCTCACTTCCCTCCCATTACCACCCTCCCCCTAGTTTTTGTCCATGTGTCCTTTAAATTTGTTCCTGTGAACCCTTCCCATTCTCCCCTGAAATTCCCTCTTCTCTCCCCTGTGGTCACTGTCAGGCTGTCCTCTATTTCTGAGTCTTTGGTTATATTTTGCTTGTTTTTTTGTTTTGTTGTTTAGGTTTCTGTTAAAGGTGAGATCATATGGTATTTGTCTTTCACTGCCTGGCTTGTTTCACTTAGCATAATGTTTTCCAGCTCCATCCACGCCGTTGCAAAGGGTAGGAGCTCCTTCTTTCTTTCTGCTGCATAGAATTCCATTGTGTAAATGTACCATAGTTTTTTGATCCATTCATTTACTGATGGAAGGAGATTTCACAGCCACTCCCCACTCTGACTCTTCCAGTGCCCTGCACAGGGCAGGTGAGGACTGAGAAGAGGCATAGGGGTGGAGCCATTCAGGCTTGGGTGGGATGCCCAGGATGCCTGGCTCCTCTCCCTATGCTGTGGGATCCTATCACCCACAGTCAATGGGCTGTTTTGGGGAAAGGACACCACACACAATACCTGGTAAAGAGTAGAGGATTTAAAAAATCTATTAATTTTTTGAGAAACCTCTGCACTGTTTTCTATAGAGGCTGCACCAATTTATAGTCCCAACAGCAGTGTATGAGGGTTCCCTTTTTCCACATTCTTGCCAACACTTTTTAGTTCTCATCTTTTTGATAACAGCCATTGTAATGAGTGTGAAGTGTTATGTTACTGTGGTTTTGGTTTACAAAGTGTCTAGTCAGATTCTTTTTCCAATTTTTAATCAGATTGGATTTGTTGTTGTTATGTGAGTTTCTTTATATATTTTGGACATTAATCCCAGATGTTGAATTATAATCTTGTACACCTAAAAATTATATAATGTCATTAACCAATGTTACCACCTACAAATTTAATTTTTTACAAATTTTCTTTCAAAGGGGAGGGGGTAGGAGGGACTGGAAGAAATTACCCAAAGAACATAATATATGTGTATATGCATAGCTCATAGTCATAGACAACGATTTGGTGAAGGCAGGGTAGGGGGGCTTTGTGGAGGGGCGAAAAGGGGGAAGTGAGTAGGGGACATTTGTAACAGTGTCAACAAATTAAAAACTTAAAAATAAAAAGTTCCTTTCATCCCTGTTCAGAGAATAGAATATTTCCTAGCCATTTCTGCTCACTCTGCCACTTTTACTGAGGACAAGTGGGAAAGAGTGATTATTCGTGGTTATCTAGTGTAGTATCCAACCACAGACTCAAGGATCAACTGGATGTGGGTTCATATCCCTCTTCTACCTCTTTGTAGCTGTATGCATTTAAACGAGTGACACAGTTGTCCCAAACATTCTTTCCTTATGTGATGGGAAAGTAACATATATCTCATGGAGTAATTGCAGAAATGGGTGAAATAAGTTGCCAGCACTTAGTTAAGCATTAAGGGTTAGGTGACTATATGAACATGTGTTTAAAATCTTCAGAAAAAGGCATTTACATGAGTATTGCCTTTTAACTATTCACAAAATAAATTGGAAAAATGGATAAACAACTAAATTTGACAAATCTGCACTGTAAAAATGAAATGTCAGAAGCTGATTATGTTGCTAGCACCTAGCAGAGTGCTGAGAATATGAATACACACCTTAAATTTTTGTAAAATGAAGGTGTTACATAGATCCTTGTATTAAATTTGCTTAAAATACCATGAACATTTAAAAGATGGAAATAGTAATATAATACTAAGGAACCTAATAAATCAGCATTATAAGTTTATGGGAGATTCTAAGTTTTACTTATTACATAAAAGTAGAGAAATAGTATTCATGAAGATGAAGACAAGTTAAGTGTTGAAATATCAAATGTATAATAAAAATCAGGGCACTATTTAAAGTATGAACTATTTATAACAGAATAATGGTTAGCTAACAGTCAGTTAGCCAAGATTGAGATGGAATTCCCTTAAACACATTCCCTTATAAAAATAAAAAATGGTACATATCTCTCCCAGAAGACGTATATTATTTGGGAATAAGATTTATTGATGTTTATTATTTGTTAACAACCAGAATGCATATAATACCAGCACCCCATGATGCTAATTTCAGAGAACAGAATTAACAACTCAGGTTAAATTAAAGTTGTACTCTGTTGTACGAAATTATTTTTCTTGGAGCATGGTCAAATTTACCTCCAGTCTGTCATGTTTTCTTTTGGTATACCTTTTTGGACTTTTTACTTTTGTAAGGTAAATTGGCTAATATTAATTTTAGCATTTTCAAAATTAAGAGTGGTGTCATTTGAGTTATTGTTAATGTACAGGATGCAAGTCAGAACCAGGACAGTTAAATTTGTAAGAAAGAAAATAGAGCACCTTGAATATGCCTAGAAAAATATGCACATTTTTATGCTTTCCAAACTTATATAGGCTTGCCCAATTATAGAAATTATTATATATTAGAAATCCTATTTTTTGGAGTTCCAGAAATTCCAGAATATTTAAGTGTGATTTTAACCACTATTAATTGAAACTGTGATGGCTTATAGAAAGAAATATGATCACTGTAATCAAACTATATTTTTGTTTAGTAATTAAAAAATATAAGCAAATATACATTAAAACTTTTTATTCAAAGGTGAGGTTGTAGGGGCTACTATTAACAGGGCTCAGGTGATTTTGAAGTCTTTATTGTTGGGAGAAATAACAAGTCAGGGATCACCACGTTGGGAAGACTGTTACCGTTTTCATCCTGGGCTGATTGTTCATTTTTCTTGTGATCATTTGGGTTCTCTTTTTACCTCTTTGAGAGTTCATCTGTTCTCTATTTTTTTTAACTCATGTACTGTTTTTTCTCTGGTGTTCAGAATGGACACGGTATTGGAGGAACAAAGGTTGTCAAGTCCAAAGTTTCATTTTCTCCCCCTTCCTTTATTAGCATTCTGCAGAAGTTAGAATTCCTTTGTTATGAGATGTTATGAGATGGCTCTAGGGCCCCTGCTTTAAAATAACCAAACAAAACTCGAAGGTTGTGAAATCTTTCCTGGTTTTCCTGTTTCCCCATTTTAAGTGAAGAAACTGTAGTTAAGAATGTGGCTAAACTACTGACACAGTAATCATAGCTGATTGCATATGGTGTCTTGAAAAAAAATGCATGGTGCTCATGGCTTCAGGTGGGCTGAAAAACATGCCTGCGCATTCCTGATGTTATTTTGCCGTTACATTTGGGAGGTTGCTAAGTCTCAGCTGAATTCTCCTTTTGGGAACTGGTCTTCCAAAATATCAAGGTAAGTCATTCCAAAAGTCGGTAAGAATGATAAACTAGCTGAACAGTTAGAATTGTATGTATCAAATGGTGGTGGTGTGTGTTTAGGGAGTATTTATTCTTTGTGTTTTGTTCTGTGCATTTTTAAATGTTTCATACACATTATTTTGACAGAAGAAAGCCATTATGAGTTTTTAGAATTACACACCATTGCTAGAGAAAAAAGGAGGAAAAAGACTTATAATAAGACTATAATAATTTAACACACAGATATATATTTTTATGTATTTAAGAAACACACTTTAGGGGAAAGGGCAAACGGCCACATAAATAGTTGTTTATAGACATCCATTTTTGGAAATGATTGCATGCCAATTAAAATTATATAAGGAAATATAGTTAACTTTTGGTATTTGGTATTTCAAATTTATAAAATAGGAAAGTAAAAAAAGGTCCAAAATGCAGGTATTTATGATTAGAAATGATGATACAAATGAAAATGAAGTATCTCACCATTCCAATCCCTTCTTCCCAAACGAGCTTGAGTATTTTATTAGGTGGGTTAAAAAGAAAAACAAAAATGCCTGAATTGGTAAATTAATTTACTTCTGTAGGGTTAATGAAAACAACCTGGCTTTTACAGATTGGAAACACTGCCATCTCTGAAATATTGATTTTGACATCTTTGAAGGGCTTTATTCTGACTTTGCTTGAGTGGATGTCTGAGAAAGCTATATTTTATTGATATAGCTTGAGGATGCTTTGATTCAAGGAGAGGGGAAAATATCCAAAAAGCAAACCTTTGTGTCATCAGATTGGTGTGACTTTAGGAAACCCTCAGAGTAATTCAGTTTACTCCTTCACCTGTTGAAAAATGCCCAAAATACAAAGACTTCATACAATACATAACTGAATTAAAATGGTTAAATTCTGCATTCTTTCCTTTGCTTCACAGTAAACATGACTGCACAGGTATGTTTTACACAATTTTTAATGTCTATAGACCAAAACAATAGAGATATATTATTACCCCAATATTATAATTCTGTTTGTGAGCCCAAGTTACAAGATGATCTGTATATTTACGAATCTCACTTTCCAGCTCTGATAGGACAAGCAAAACCGCTCCAAAGGTCTCACAGTTACAGATTCTTATGAGCACAAACATGAAGGAAATTCCAAAGGAGAGTATTTTAAAATAAACTCTTTTAGTAAAACAGCCAAGTTTCACCTTAGTTTCCATTCAGCCGTGAAGCAGGTACTTCTTTGCATTTCCAGATTAAATAATCTTCTGATTTTTCATAAAATCATATAGATTTTCTCTCCAGTTTTTAGTTGGGGACAGATTTATACTGTTAGACATGAAACTAAAGATAGTGTCAGGCTATGAGGTTTTCAAAACTTCAAAGCCTCCTGGGAATGACCTATATACACAATTTCTCCTGTAGGTAAGATTTTAGATTTTCCTCTGTAATTTGCATTTGATTTATGGAGTTCTTCAGTGTGATAATTATAAAGGTATATTCACAGTATAATTTAAAAAATACTGAGATTAACTTTTTATTCAGTGATAGTCTTGATTATAGGGAAAAGTATATTTTCCTACAAAATACTAATCACTACATTGAAGTGTGTTTTTAAAAAATAATAGCTTACATTTATTTAGGACTTTCTCTGTGCCACCAAATACTTTTCTAAGTTCTTCACATGCATTAACTCTTTAATCTTCATAACCTTGTCCTATATATTGACTATACAATACTAATTATTATCTTCGGTATAATCACTGAGCACAGAAATTAAATAAATTACCCAAGGTCACATAAATTGTGATTGGTGCAGGAAGAATTTGGATTTAGGCTATTTGTCCTGAACTCTCAACTCTCTCCCCACATAGGATGTGAATACCATGAGGCTGGGACTTGCTCTTGTTCATAGTTTTACCCCACAGGGCCCAGGACAGTACACTTAATAAATATCTATTGAGTGATGAATAAATAAACCAAAAATTTAAAACTACAATTATTTAAATGCTTTTGTCTTATAGAAAAAAGTAATTGGTGCTTTTTGATCATAAAAGGATATGTTTCTGAAGTTCTCAACAAAAGTTCACACAGGCTTGAAATAGTAGAATAGTATTTGGGGCTAAAACTAATTTATGTTCTAAGATTATAGAAGTTCTCTATATAGTTGAAGTATCATTTTGCCCCCTTGAACAATTTATAACTAAAGTGCCACCATGTATAATGTAACAACTTGGTTTTAAGTCATTGCTTAACCTGGAATTTAAGATTCCCAAATAGAATGTTAAAATGCAAAGTATTTTTATTTTATAGTTACCATACTTTTGAGCAGACCACATTACCACCGTGTTTAATTTGGGCTAAGTTATAGAATTTTTTACTGTACTTTTATTCTACCTATTTGAGCTGCACTAAACATACAGGACATTCATTAGCAATTAGTCATGTTCTCATAGGGTTTGTTTTAAATGACAAAGTGCTAAGTTCTCCCAAATGTAAAGCTCCAAATAAGTCGTGAAATTATTATATGTAAATAAAAGAAAAAAATCTTAAAGTCTATTGAAAATAGACTTAAGTACATTTTGGTATTGATTTAGGAAATTAATCCAAGAGTCTGTTTTTATCAAGTTCCTATTAGTTCTGATTTAATTAGTTCTGAAAACTGTATCTGAGAAGCAATGATATTCAGTAAAATAATAAACTGAATATAATAAAAAAGAAAATTAGGGAAGTTCTTGTTTTACAGTTTCATTTTTGAGGAGAAACTTTTTGAAAGAACAGGATATAATCTGGATAAAAGGCACTGGGCAGCCATCAAAGAACAAGGATGAACATGTCTCAGTGTTTCAGAACAACGGATTTGGAATCACATTGTCTATATATTTTTTGTAATTAATTTTGGATTTATTGTAATGACTTTTTTTTGGTTTATTGAGCTATAATTTAGATATAGTAAAAATCAACCTTTCTTTGGTGTACAGGCAATGAATTTTCACAAACTTACACAGGCAGTTGCCCTTACAATCAAGATACAGAGCACGCACAGCATCCCAAAAGCTTCCTTCGAACCCCTTTGAGGTCATTCGCTCTTCTTACCCCAGACCCTGGGAACCACTGATATAATTTGTCTTTCCATTTTTGCCTTTTCTGGAATGCCATATAAACAAAATAATTTACATAAAAGTCTTTTAAGTTTGGCTTATTTTACTTATTATGTTTTCTTTGCTTTACACCCTCACCAGCAGTATTTACATTGTCTAGATTTTGATTCCAGATCTTTTGGCAGGTCACTTTCACTTTATGAAATGCAGAAGCAGATAATAATAATATCATTTACTTCTTAGGGGTATTAGGGAGATTAAATGAGGTGATGTGTAATTGGAATCTGGCATAAAGTGACCAATACATACTGACTTTTATTAATTTAGAATATCTTCACCTCAATTCTACTTTTGTATTGCCATTGAATGGTCGAGTTAGAGAGAAATAACCATCAAATAATTTGTTAATTAGACTGACATTGTGTGTGTGTGAATCTCCACATACCCACATGTATGTACATGGTTGTGTGTTTTTTTGGGGGGAGGGGCATGTGGATTGCTGATTTCTATGCAATAGAGATTCTATCACTAACATGCCACAAACCCTCAAGTGATGATTTTCAATAGGCTGAATTTCATTGTGCAGCTCCAGTCTCTTTTGAAGATATTTTCTTCTCTGTACTCATCAATTACGGGCCACCTGACATCATGGATAACTCGAAACTCTGGGAACCAGGGAACGTGGGATGTATATACTTTCAGATCTGCCACTAGTTTGGGCAAGTCACTTAACTCATCTGGTTCCCAAATTACTTATTTGTAAAAAGGTGGGGTTGGGTTAGTAGCTGGCGGGGATGATGGAAATCCATCTTATTAAGAGGTATCTGGGTTTTTTCTTTCAGTGGTCAACCCTGTCATTAGAAATAGGGGATTTGTGTGTATTTATGTGTGTGTCTCTTGAATTTTTATCAAAATGGATGATTTTCCTAATTAGCAGTCAGTGATTAAATGTAAGTTTAGGTAGTTCCTAAATTGCTGCTAAGATCTTTTATCTGAAGGCTGCTGGGTGTTGTGGCAGCAATCTTGGATCATTTGGTAACTACCATCGCAGGTAAGTGTAATTCGTTATAGAACTACAGTAAAGTTAATTAGAGAAACAAAAGATTGACAGGAGGGAAGCAGCAGAGAGCATCCATAGTTTGACTAAGGTTTGAATCATGTCGAATTCCTATAGCTAAGCAGCACCCTCTTGACTCACTGCTGTGGTCATAAACATGCTGATAGAGCTCATACATATGGGTTTCTCATCACATGGCCCATTGTTGGCAAATCTTGGATTTCTCTGCACTAAGTGATTTTCCAGGACTAACTGTCTATGATTCTAAGTCATAGATTATCCCACTCTTTTCTCCTTGATCTACTTTAAAAACAAAGACAGCTATTGAAAAATATAGAACAATCTTCCCCCTTCATTATCACTAATATGCTCCCTCAATCTCCATTGAAAGTAAAATGTTTTATTAAAAACATAAAGATGCAGACTGTATAGGGGATATAAATACAACATAAGAAGGAACATTACATTTAGATTGGGAAAGAGGAATGTATTTTTTGAGGTCAGTACTTAGAGCTAAGCTGTACTTTTATGAATTCTCAATAATTAGTAAATGCTTACTGACTGAAAAAAATGAATATATTGAATTTTTTTCATTTGCTACTAGTTTATGAGGGTTAGGATTATATTCCCCCTTTCCCCCTGCCCCCCACTAAAAAATATAATAAAGCTACAATGGCTTCCTTATTGGATGAAATCAAACTGTATTGGCCTGTCACTCAACACCCTTTACAACGCAGCCCCCAACGCATTTTCAGTTTTATCTCCTGTTGTTCCCTTCTACACAACCTACTCAAGCCCCCAGGGGTCCTCATTACTCCCCAGCACACCGTGTTTTCACATCTTTGCCTCTTTGCTGAAGCTGCTCCCTTGGCCTAGGTTGGCCCTTTTCTTATCCAGTCTACCTCACAAACTCTGCCTGTTTTTCAAAATCTAACTGAAATGTTGCCTATCTTCATAAGTCTCTGCATTCTTTCCCCAGCCAGGTATCTCCCGCACCAGACGGTTGTAACACTCTGAGTGGCAGCATTATTCACACCGTGTCACAGTTACTGCCTCACATTCTCTTGCTGCTGCCCTCTGGCGCAAGGACTGCGCTGTTAAAATCTTAGCATCTAATACGTAGCAGTCACGCAATGAAAGCTTGCCAAAGTGAATGAAAACATGTGTGCATGTACTACAAGAAGGAAACTATCTTGATTCAGATAAAATGTTATCTTTTCAGTCATTATATATGTTGGAGAATACAAAAAAAAGGAGGAAATGAAATTCACCCATAACACTACTCCCTCAGAGATCATTTTAAGTTTAGGATATGCATTTCTAGTTAAAGTATACATTTAAGAGGAACTCTGTTTTTTTTTTTTTTTAAATTAGAAAATTACCTACATGCCTAAAAGATGATCCTAATTGTTGACTTTGCTGTTTTTGTTGTTGTTAGCTCACAGAAAGAATAATCATCCTTTTTGTGGTGATCACCAGTCAAGAGGAAGTCCAAGAGAAATATGTGGTGTGTGTTTTATTCATCTTTTGGAATCTATTGGATATGGTTAGGTAAGGAGGCAAAATAACATCTTAAAACAAAGCTAAATTGCTTTCTGCAGTGAAACCAGTAATAACTGTGTATGTTTGGTTACTTGGAATAAGAGGAAAACATAAACCCTTTTCAAATTGTTTTATCTTTATATAAAAATGTACTTTTAGTGCTTTCCATAATGGGCATATCAAAGATAATGAAAATCAACCATGGTATTACAACAACGAACCAGTGCAGGTATCTAGCAGAAGAGTTGGCATAACACCAACTTGGAATAAACCTCACAGCTGTTTGCTAATGAAAGGCATTCCTTGCAATTGCTCTGGAACATGTTACTCTAATAAGCAAAGCAAGACTTTTTTATTGTATCATAGTCAGAACTTACAAAGTTGGTTTCTGTAAATTCATTACTATTTTAAATATAGGGCCCTCATCTCTCAGAAAAAAATGTACCTCCACATGCATTTTTGTATGCAATTCCAGTGGGTTCAAAAGCCTGAATGAAATTCTTTCATGGACTTCCTAGGAGTTCTGGTTAGAACCCTTGCTTGCTCTAGATCCTCTCCAGTTTCCCTCTAATTCCTGAACTTTGCAAGGAGAGCCAAGGCTTATGGCCACCAGTGGTGCTTTGCTCTGTGGCTCACCTTGAAGAGTTGTCCTAACTGCTACTTCAGCTTTTACAAACGAGAACTGCCCCTCTTGCTGGAAAAGATCTGGATGTGGACAGGTAACAAATTAGCTCAGGTTATATAAATTTCTTATTACATTGTCAATAACTTAGCTGAGTTAAAATATTTCTAAATAATGGGTTGAGCTGTAGAGTGAATTAGAATATTTTGTTGACTTCAACTGACTATAAACAACAACAAAAAAATGACTATGTTTTTTGTATATAGAACTTAGGATGTTATTTCTCATTTTTAACTGATAGTTTTGTAGACTTGGACAAACTTTCATAGGCTTTTGTAGCTCATGACTTCCTGTTCATGAGACACAGAGCCTCTCCTGAGACAGCAGCTCTCTAATGCATTATTCTCTGGCATGCCCGACTCTTTCCGAGTCAGCTCAGGCTCACATAAACTCAGCAGACCCATTACAGAATGAAGTGACTTGTGCAGTGAGAGTGGTATCATGACATCATGGAAAAACTTTTGGGCACAGAAGGATATTGCAGGATGAACCCCACCTCCAACATTACTAGCTATATGATCTTCAGCAAGTCACTTAACCTTTTTTTTAAATAACAGCATTGAGATAATTTATGTACATTAAAATTCACCCTTTTAAAGTATAAAATTTGGTTTTTAATGTATTCGAAGATGTGTGCAACCATTGCTACTAATTTCAGAACATTTTTATTGCCCCCAAAAGAAACCGCAAACCTATTAGTAGTCACTCCCCATTCTCTCCTTCTCCCAGCTTCTTGCAACCACTAAGTACTGTCTCCATGGATTTGTCTATTCTGGACATCTCATATAAATGGAGTCATATAATATGTGGCCTTCTGTGACTAGCTTCTTTCACTTAGCGTAATGTTTTCAAGGTTCATCCATGTTGTAACATCTATCAATACTTCATTCATTTTATGTGGCTGAATACTCTTTCCTTATATTGATATACCACACTTTTCCATTTGAGTTGTTCCTACTTTTTGGTTGTGAGGAATGCTGATATGAATATCCACATGCAAGCTTTTGTGTGTGCATATTTTCATTTCTCTTAACATAGTAAAATTTCAGAGTATCTAACCTTTTTGAAACTCATTTTTTCTTCTGTAAAATAGGAGTACAATTATATTCCAAACTTACCCTAGGATAGCTTTTTAAAAAGCAAAGTTCAGGGAACTTCCACAACCTGATAAAAGCCTCTACAAAAATCATTTACATCAAGTTAACTTGATGTTTAATGATGAAAGACTGATGCTTTCCTCCCAAGATCTGGAACAAGACAAGCAAGTCCAAGCTAGCCACTTCTAGTCACCATTGCTCTAGCCATGGCATGAGGCAAGAAAATGATGTAAGAGAGGTCCATTGGAAAGGAAGGAGTGAAACTGTCTTTATTGGTAGATTATATGATCTTTCTTATATATAAAAAATCATAAGGAACCCACTAAAAATACTAAAACTAATAAACTAGTTCAGCAAGTTTGTAGAGTACCAAATCAATACAGAAAAATCAATTATATCCTATATATTTGCAATGACCTATAGTAAAATTAAAAAATAATTCCTTTTACAATAGAATCAAAAGAAGTAGGAGTAAGTTTAACAAAAGATGTACAGAATTTACACATCAAAAACTATAAAACAGTGTTAAGAGAAACTAAAGATTAAAATTAATGAAAAGATATCCCATGTTTATGGGTTGCAAACTTAATATTGTTAAGACTCCCCCAGTATATCTAAAGATTCAGTGCAATCCCTATCAGAATCCCAGGTGGCTCCTTTTCAGAAATTGAAAAGCTGCTCCTAAAACTCACATGGAAACTCAAGGAACCCAGCATAGCCAAAACAGTCTTGAAAAAGAACATAGCTGGAAGGCTCACACTTTCCAATTTTAATTTACCACAAAGCAACAATAAGCAACAGTGTGATACTGGCATAAGGATATATCATGGAATAGAATTGATAGTACAGAGATAACTCTCATATCCATTGTCAATTGATTTTTTCAAAAATATGTATTTATTTTTAGAGAGAGGGGAAGGGAGGGAGAAAGAGAGGGAGAGAAACATCAATGTGTGGTTGCCTCTTGTGCACCCCCTACTGGGAACCTGGCTTGCAACCCAGGCATGTGCCCTGATTGGGAATCAAAGCAGCAACCCTTGGTTCTGCAGGCCTAGCAGTCTGTGTTGTTGAAAGCCCTCTGGGTGATTCTGATGTTTGCCTAACTTGAGGAACAACTGGCGTGTTTAGGGAACAGAGAAGTAAAATGATGTAGCTGATTTCATCTATTGTGTCACAAAAGCAGGTTTTAAACTATCTAGTGTAACCCAAACAAGCTCCTTGGCACAGTTCTTTAATTGACACATAAGATGGCTCAGCTACGTAAGCAGAAGGATGCCGATAAAGATTTGGAAGTCATGTTGTTATTTTTAAAATTCACTCCCTAGATAGTTACAAGATTTGTTTGCAATTAAAAAAAAAAACTCCTATCTGCTTATTGCATAAAATGGGCTTGGCTGCTGAGTGAAATCAAAGTCACTAATCAAGGAGACTTGATTGTCTGCAATCCACCTCATGAGACAAGCCAGATTTGACATGGTCCCCTCTCCCCATTATTTAAACCTCTTCTGCTTGAATTATAGGAAATAAAGTATGGAATCTGCACACATTCCAGCTTTGTTTGTGTAATTACAGAGTGAAGTATCTCATTCTCTTACTCTTCAGACATCAGCAGCAAATTATTCTTACCAGTTCCTCATCCCCTTTTAGGTACACGTACAGCATGTTATCGGTCCTGGGCATATCCTATTCCGTCCTGACGTGGCTCAGTCAGACACTGTGGATGCCGATTTACCCTTTGTGTGTTCTTGCTGAAGGTAAGAAAACAGTGACTTGCTCTGTTGCTAACTGATAAAAGCCATCTAGTTATAATGGCTCACTAAATATTTTGGTGGTTAAATTACTATTTGGGGTACCGCATAGCTGACTCAATGTGTCTTTCCTGTCATACTTCCCTCGATGCAAAGAAGCAAAGCATGAAGAAGCAAAATTGGAGGGGGAAGCAGCTCTGCACAGTAGACAAAGTATTGGATGAGCAATGAGGACATGAATCTCTGTTTCCTCACCAAGAAGGGGGATAACATTGACCAATTCAGCAATTATTTTCCCCCAATTTGAAAAAAATTATTTTAAATTGTAGTTGACATACAATATTAGTTTCAGGTAGATAACACAGTGATTCAACATTTATATACCTCACAGAGTGACTGCCATGGTACTGTTTGTCACTGCATACAGTTCTTGCTATATTACTGACTCTGTTCCATTATGCTGCACATTACAACCTGTGACTTACAACTGCAAGTTTGTATTTCTTAGTCCCCTTCCCCATTTCACCAGCCCCCACTTCTCTGGTAACCATGAGTTCTCTGTATCTGAGTTTGTTCTGTTTTTTAGATTCCACATATAAGTGAAATCATACAGTATTTATCTTGTCTGACTTATTTCACTTAACAATACTCTTAGTTAATCATACTGTCTCAGATGGCAAGATTTCTTTCTTTTTTCTTGATAGCTGAAGGCACTGACTGTCTGTTCCTTGCTTCCTTCTTCTTCCCCACCTCACCTCCACTCTGCACAGATGTCCTCTGGTCATTTCACACATATATCTTTTGTTCTCAAATAGGTGGTAAACTCTTTGAGGGGAAGAATTTTGTCTCGTATGTCTTTGACATTCCTCATAGCTTCCAATTTGGTATGCTCCCCCTTGCCCCTGCCCTATACTAAGTTTTTCCTGAATGAGGTCAATAATTAATTCTCTTGGTGGCAATAGGTTTTCTGAAACTATTTTAAACCTTTGTCTGGGTTATCATTACAACTTGGCTTCTTATCCAATATTGCTGTTATACTTGAATTTTATTCAAATTTCAATTCCACATTTCATTTCAAAAAGTAGGTTAAACAATTAGCTTTGGTTATATATTTTTCCTTTCTTTAACCAACTGAAATTCTAAGTATCTTAAGACAAACTCTAATCTGAATAGAGCATTTGTGATGACAGTTTTATATACTGGTAATAGGAATACATCTTGTACATCTGAGTTACAAGCTGAGAGGAGTCCTTCAGTTACTATTAGGTCATCTAGACATACTCAGCAGTCCATGACCTTGGTGAATGTCTAGACCTCTTTTCCTTGTCTTGTTTAATTGTGTAATTATTTGGTTGATCATTAGATTATGTTAGATTGATTAAAGTTTCTACTTGAAAAGGAAATTTAAAGTTTTTACCTATCAGGTGATGAAAGACATGGCATATGTAATATACATCATCTTAAATGTGTAAAGTGGGAAGCAGTATTTTTAAAGGCCTAACAAGGCTTGGCATTTGTAATTGGTTTTTACCTGGAAACTAGAGAAAAATCCGGGACTCCCAGTTCGGCACATTCTTTATTCAGACTTCGCCCATTAAGTCTAACTTCTGTTTTGTGCTAGATGAACTGATCAAAATAGGTCCAATTATGTATTGCATTAAAAAGTATTTTTCAATTACAATTGATATACAATGTTATATTAGTCTCAGGTGCACAACACGGTGATCAGGCATTTATATAACTTGTGCACTGACCACAACAGATCTAGTGCCCATCTGACAACAGATAGTTATCACATTATTATTGTATAAATATTCCCTATGCTCTATGTACATCATGTTCTCATGACTATTTTTATAGGTCGCAATTCATACTTTTAATCCCTTTCAGCATTTCTACCCATCGCCCCAATCTTCCTGTCATCTGGCAAACATCAGTTTGTTCTGTGTATCTATGGGTTTGCTTCTGTTTTGTTTCTTAAATTCCACATGTAAGTGAAATTCTACAGTATTGGGCTTTCTCTGACTTACATCACTTAGCATAATGCCTTCTAGATCCATCCATCTTGTTGCAAATGGCAATATTTTATGACTGAATAATATTCTATTGTAGATATGTAAAAAATCTTGTTTACTCATTTGTCTATTGATGGACGCTAGGTCACTTTCATCTTGGCTATTTTAAATAATGCTGCAATGAACAAAAGGGTGCATACATCTTTTTGAATTATTGTTTTCGGTTTCTTTGAAAAAATACCAGGAAGTGTAATTGCTGGGTCATTAGGTCTAATTTTAATTTTTTGAGGAACCTGCATGCTGTTTTCCACAGTGGCTGCACCAATCTGCATTTCTGACAATAGTGCACCAGCATTCCATTTTTTCCATGTTCTTGCCAGCACTTGTTTGTTGATTTGGTAATAGCTATTCTGACTGGTGTGAGGTGATATCTTATTGTGATTCTCATTTGCATTTCTCTTAAGATGAATGATGTTGAGCATTATTTCATGTGTCTGTTTGCTATCTTTATGTCCTCTTTGGAGAACTGTCTATGTCTTCTGCCCACTTTTAAATGAGGTTATTCATTTATTTTCTTCTTTTTAATTGTTCAATTACAGTTGTCCCATTTCCCCCCCCGCATTGCTCTCCCTTGCACTACCCACCCCCACCTTCCACATTCAATCCTCCCCCTGGTTGTCTTTGTCCGTGGGTCTTTTATACATGTTCCTTGACTTGACCCTTTCCTAAATGAGATTATTTATTTTTTGATGTTAATCTGTATGAGTTCTTTGTATATTGTGGGTATAAACCCTGTATCATCAGATACGTCATTTGCAAATATCTTCTCCCATTCAGTGGGCTGCCCTTTTGTTGATGGTTTCCTTTGTAATGCAGAAGCTTATAGTTTGATATAGTCCCACTTGTTTAATTTTGCTGTTGTTGTCTGCCCTAAGAGACATATCTAAAAAAATATTGCTAAGATCAATGTCAAAGAGTGTATTGCCTATGTTTTCTTCTAGGAGTTTTATGGTTTCAGGTCTTACATTTAAAGCTTTAATCCACTTTATTTTTCTATATGGTGTAAGAAAGTGGTCTAGTTTCATTCTGTACATCTGTACAGTTTTCCATCATTGATTGAAAAGACTGTCTTTACTCCAAGGTAAATTCTTGCCTTTTCTGTTGTATGTTAATTGACCATATAGCATAAACTTATTTCTGGGCTCTCTATTCTATTCCATTGATCTATGTGCCTGTTTTTATGCCATTATCATGCTATTTGATCACTATACTTGTAGTACAGTTTGATAACAGGTAGTGTGATACCTTCAACTTTGTTCTTTTTTCTCAATATTGCTTTGGTTCTTTGGGATCTGTTTTAGTCCCACATAAATTTCAGGATTTTTTCTTCTAGTTCTGTGAAAAATGCCATTGGTATTTTGATAAGGATTTCATAAAATTTGTACATTACTTTGGGTAATATGAACATTCTATTTATTTTTTCTAATTTTTATTTTATTTTATTTTATTTTTCATCACAAAACAGTATTTATTATCTCAGAAACCTCTACTATTCATCCAGTACTGAAATGAGTAAACGTACATGCCATGTAAACACTGCACGTTTTCCTGAAAATGCACTTTGTACAAAATATTCTCATTCCCAGAGGTTTTGAAGTGTTCAAACACTTCACTACAGTTTTATCAGAATGCAAAGCACCTGGAGGACAACAAGTGGACTGTTATGTTCATATTCACTTTGATCACAAACCAGCATAGTAAAATTCATGTGCTAGAGTGTGCATGGCTATCCTCAGTGTGGTATGCTTTTGTGCTTTACACTGCAGAAAACTGGGCCAGGAGCTTATTGTACCTCAAAACTGACATAGTTGTATGAATCCACTCACTGTTTTCCCCATGGAACAGTGAGTGATTTTCATAGCTCTTTTGCTATCAAACTTACCACTGAAATGAACATATTTCACAAAGATTCTTCAAGACAACCTCACAAAACAGTACTTATCTCAGAAACCACTCGCATTTACTACATACTGAAATGAGTACAAGTACTGAGTTTAAATGTAGCAGATGTGTTTTCCCAAAAACCTGCTTCATATGAAATATTCTTTTTCTCTAGTGGTTTTGAGGTTTTTCAAACACTTCACTACAGTTTTATCAGAATGAAAGGCTTTGGGTAATATGAACATTTTAATTCCAGTTATTCCTATTCATGAGCATGGTATATGCTTCCATTCATTTGTTTCTTCTTCAATTTCTTTGAGTAATGCCTTATAATTTTCTGAGTACAGGTCATTTACAACCTTGGTTAAATTTATTCCTAGATATTTTACTTTTTGATACAATTATAAATGGGATTCTTTCCTTAATTTCTTTCTGATAGCTTGTTATTGATGTATAAATGTGTAACCAACTTCTGAGTATTAATTTTGTGTCCTGCCATTTCTCTGAATGGACTTATTCTAATAGTTTTCTTGGTGGATTCTTCAGGGTTCTCTCTATATAGTATCATGCACTCTGTAAATGAGTGTTATACCTCTCTTCCAATTTGGATGCCACTTATTTCTTTTTCTGGTCTGATTGTGTGGCTAGAACTTGCAATACTGTGTCAAATAAAAGTGGTGAGAGTGGACACCCTTATCTTGTTCCTGACCTTACAGAAAAAGCTTTTAGTTTTTCACTGTTGAATATGATGTCAGCTATAGTTTGTCATATGTGGCCTTTATTATGTTGAGGTATATTTCCTCTGTACTCACTTTGCTGAGAGTTTTTATCATGAATGGATGTTAAATTTTGTCAAATGTTTTTTCTGCATCAATATGATCATATGATTTTTATCCTTCATTTTGTTTATATATCATGTTAATTTGTGGTTATTGAATCAACCTTACATCCCAGGAATAAATCCCACTTGATCACAGTGTATAGTCTTTTTAATGTATTGCTGAATTTGATTTGCTAACATTTGTTGAGTGTTTTGCATCTGTGTTCATCAGGGATATTAGCCTGTAATTTTCCACTTTTTGTGGTGTCTTTTTTTGTTTTGTTTTGCTTTTTTTTTTTTTTGTCAGGGTAATGCTAGCTCAATAAAATGAGTTTGGGAGCTTTCCTTCCTCTTCAGTTTTTTGGAAGTTTGAGGGTAGGCATTAATTATTCTTTGACTATTTGTAGAATTATCCACGAAGCCATCTGGTCCAGAACTTTTGTTTATTTTTTATTAATGATTCAGTTTTTTATTAGTAATTGGTCTATTCACATTTCCTATTTCTTCCTGATTCAAGTCTTAAGATTGTATGTTTCTAGGAATTTATCCATTTCTTCTAGATTGTCCAATGTATCAGCATGTGATTGTTTTTAGAACTTTCTTACAAGCCTTTGTATTTTTGTGGTTACTGTTGTCATTTCTTTCATCTCTGGTTTTATTTGGGCCATCTCTCTCTCTCATTTTGATTTTGGTGAAAGGTTTATCAATTTTGTTTATCTTTTCAAAGAACTAGCTCTTGGTTTCATTGATCTTTTCTATCATTTTTATAGTCACTCATTTCCTCTCTTTTATTATTTCCTTCCTTCTACTCCTTTGGGGTTTTTCTTTTTCTATTTCTTAGGTAAGAGGTTAGATTGTTTGAGGTTTTTCTTGTTTCTTTAGGCAGGCTTTAGGTAGGTGTATGAAATTCTCTTAAAACTGCTTTTGCTATGTTCCATAGCTCTTGGGTCATCATGTTTGCATTCTCACTTGTTTCAAGCTATCTTTGATTTCCTAGTTGATCTCATTATTAACTCATTCATTATTTAGTAGCATGTTGTTTAGGCTCCATGTGTTTGTGGTGTTTTTTGTATTTTCTTCTTGTAATTGATTTCTAATTATTGATTTTTAGAGAGAAAGGGGGAGAGAGATATGTAGAGAGAAAAACATCGATTTGTTGTTCCACTTATTTATGCATTCATTGGTTGCTTCTTGTATGTGCCTTGACCAGAAATTGAACCTGAAACTTGGTGTAGTGGGATGAAGCTCTAACCAACTGGTCTACCTGGACAGGGCTTGTAATTGATTTCTAACTTTATACTGTTTTGGTCAGAGAAAACACTTGATGAGATTTCTAATTCTTAAATTTATTGACCCTTACTTTGTGGTCTAATGTGGTCTATCCTGGAAAATGTTCTGCTGCACTTGAAAATAATGTATATTCTACTGTTTTTTGAATAAAATGCTCTATAAATATCTAAAGTTCATCTGTTCTAATGTCTTACTTCAGGTCACTTCACTCATTGATTTTTCTGTTGGATGATAAAACACCTCATTGATGTAAGTGGGGTGTTAATGTCCCCTACTATTATTGTACTAAACTATCCATCTCTCCCTTAAGTCAGTCAACATTTGCATTATATATTTAGGTGCACCTACATTGGGTGTGTAGATGTTTACAAGTTATGTTTTCTTGTTGGATTGAATCCTTTATCATTATAAAATGCTCTTCTTTGTTCCTCATTACAGTCTTTGACTTTTTTTTTCCATTTGCATGAAATATCTTTTTACATTTCTTCACTTTGTATGTCTTTTGATCTAAGCTATAGGCCATTTATATGCAGGTCTTATTATTTTATCTATTCAGCCACTGTTTTTTGATTGGACTGTTTAAGTCAATTTACATTTAAAGTAACGATTGATAGGTATGCCGTTCGTTACTGCCATTTTATTATTTTTTCCCGTTGTTTTTGTGTATCTTTGTTTCTTCTCTTACACATTAATGACTTTCTATAGTGTTATGTTTGAATTCCTTTTTCTTTTGTGTGTGTATCTCATAGATTATTGGTTTACAGTTAACGTGTACTTTGTACATAACAGGGTATATTTATAACAGTCTGTTTTAAGTTGATAGTTGCTTTCAGAACATATTCTAAAATATTTTCTACTTCCTACATTTATGTTTTTGTCATGTTTTACCTATTTTATGTGTTTGTGTGTAACCCTTAATTTATTATTGTATATATACATAATTTTCCCACTTTTGCCTTTAATCTTCATATTAGCTTTATAACCAGTTGATTTTCTACCTTTACTAACTATTTGTCTTGGAGATTTTTGGATAAGTTTCTCTGTCTCATTTTGGCTGACACTATGTTTTTAAAAAATTAATTGAGGTAACATTGGTTAATAACATTATATAAATTTTGGGTGTACAACTTTGTATCTGTATACTTGATCACATGCTTACCCTCCAAAGTCTAGCCTCCTTCCATCACTACATGTTTGGCCCCCCCTTACCCTGTGTGATATCGCCACCCCCATCACCTCTGGTAACTATCATTCTGTTGTCTGTATCTATGAATATGGCCTTTTTTGTTTGTTGCTTTTTGTTTTATATCCTACAAATGAGTAAATCACATTTCTTGTCATTTTGCATGTGATTTTTCACTTAGCACGATATCCTCACACTCTATCATTGTTGTCATAAATGGCAATATTTTACTTTTTATGGATGGATAAATGTACTGTTATAGAAATGTACTGTATCTTCTTTATCTAGTTATCCAGCAAAGGACATTTAGGTCGTTTCCCTATTTTTGACTATTGGGAATAAATGCTGCAATCAACATAGGGATATGTTCATTACAATTGTTTTCAAATATTTGAGTAGATTCCCAAAAGAGGGAGTCCTGTGTGATATGGTAGCTCTATCTTAATTTTTTGAGAAACTTTCATACTGTTTTCCACAGTGGCTGCAACAACTTACATTCCCACCAGCAGCGTATGACTTTTCTTTTTCTCCACCTTCACTCTAACACTTATTGGTAACAGCTATTTCACTGGGTATGAGGCATTATCTCATTGTGATTTTGATTTGCATTTCCCTTATGAGTAGTTATGTTGGGTATCACTAGTAAATGGGATTAATTTCTCTGATATTGGTGTATAGAAACATGACAAATTTCTGTATATTAATTTTATATCCCAATACTTTACTGAATTCATTTATTGTATTAATTTTTCAGTGAATTCTTTAGGGTGTGTGTGTGTGTGTGTATCATGTCATCTGCAAATAGTGAGTTTTACTTCTTCCTTTCCAATTTGGATGCCTTTTCTTTTTGTCAGATTGCTATGACTAGGACTTTTAATACTATATTGAATACCAGTGAGAGTGGGCATCCTTGTCTTGTTTTTGATGTTAGAGGAAAAGCTTTCACCTTTTCACTGTTGTTTATGATGTTAGCTCTGGCCTGTCGTGTATAGTCTTTCTCACTTTGAGGTACGTTACTTCTTATGCCCACTTTGTTGAAATTTTTTTTCATAAATTAATGTTGGATTTTGTCAAATGTATTTTCTGCATCTACTAAATTGATTATATAATCTTTATCCTTGGTTTTGTTGATATGATGTATCACATTGTTTTGTGATATTGAACCTTTCATTCCTGATATAAACCCCGCTCAATCATGCTGTATAATCCTCTTAATTATTGAATTTGATTCACTAATATTATATATTGTTGAGGATTTTCTGCATTTCTTCTGCTTTTATTATCAGTAATGCTGGTCTTGTAGAATGATTTTGAAAGCACTCCTTCTTCCCCTTCTGGTAGGGCAACCGTATGTGCTAGTGCTGAAGTGCCCTACCAGTGGGGCGCTTGCTCCACATGCACATGCAGGAGTCCCCACTATCTCTGTACTTTGTCTGAGTGGGAGGACCCCACATGCACGTGTAGCCCAGTAGGTACACACAGCAGTGCCCTGCAATATTTGCTAGATTAATTTCTGGGTGGGGGGACTCTGTGCATGCACGCTATGGCAGCCTTCTGTTCCTGCTGGAACTAGATCCTGAGCTATGCCTAGCGACCTGCTACAGCAGCCCAACAGCTTGGCTAGAGACCCTGGCTAGAGCTCCCCTCCCACTTACTATCCAAGGGAAACAAACGGATCCCTCCAGCCCTGCAGAGTTCCCCCAGCTTTAGGACAGCTTTCACAGTTCCCCAACCCTCTCTATGTGCAGCTGACCCTCAGTTGTCTCACAGGAGGAACTGTTCTAAATTCCAATGGTGTACATTCGATGTGTTCTTTGGAGAGGGTGAGCTCAGTGTCCTCCTATATGGCCATCTTGGACTCACTTCTGAAGCCAGTTACTTTATTGCAGAACTTTTCAGAATGTCTACTATACTAATGAGTGTTGTCAAACTCCAAGAGGAAAATATATGCAGCATTTTCTAAATTTGTCCATCTATTGCTGAAAGAATTCAGCAATTGTCACAAAGCTGTCATCCAATTCAAAATACCCTTCCACTGTGCAGACATACATCTCTGCAAAGTAATCAGAGACACCTCCATGATCCCTTCTTCTTTCTTTAAACAGCGTTTGCCATCTATCAGTCACTGCCGTATTTTGAATCATTTGGCACTTACTCCACAAAACTGCCCTTTGACTTATCCATCTATTTCCCGTATGTGCTGAAAATATATCTCATCATGCTCTTTATGGGTAAGTGTCTTTTCTGTTTTGTTTTTGCATTCCTCCTGTTTTGGTTTGTGCTGTCATCTACCTTAACAAAGAGGTCTACAAATATGGGAAAGGACAAAAAGGAAGCCTGAAACAATGAATTAGATCTTGATAGTAAAGCACCTTGAAATTATAATACTTTTTTTCAACACATCACATGATCAAATGAATAAGAGATGAACTAGAACAGTTTTATTAGTGGAAAACCTAACTGCTGTGTGTGAAATATAGAAGTTTTGACCATAGACACAGGTATCTACAAAAAAAAATCTAGATGTCAAATTGAGCAACCTTGTCTATTTCTGGTTTTCCCATTTATCTTTATTTGCTTTTCTGTTTGTTTGGCCTTATGTGCTAGCACTTCCCAGTAGGCAAGTGGGAGAAGGTGCTAAAGACTCAAGAAAAATGCATGCAACAAAAAATACAGTTGAAAAATTTGATCAATTCATTTTTTTCCAGAAAACTGGGAAAAAGTCTTCCATTATGAAATTTTAGCTTCCCTAGCTCTAACCATCACACATCCTCGAGATAATGAGTACTTCTAGAAGGTAACAATGATCAGATATATAAGAACAACACGTGAAAGAGAAGACAACTGAAACATTAGGGGGCAAGACAGCTACTTTAAAGACAGGGAAAAACTCCTTGCAATGAACAAAACAGTGAGATGGGAAGTTTGCTTTACTTTCCTTCTGTAGAAAATCTGGACACTTGTTAAGCATTCCTTCCTCAAATCTGCCCTGCAAGGGTCTTGCTTTGGACTCCAGGCAACGCTCTAACTGCAACAGTCCTGTTAAAACAACAGTCCTTTCCAAAGGAATGGCTAATCAGTCTTTCTTACTTTTTAACAGTCCTGTTAAAACAACAGTCCTTTCCAAAGGAATGGCTAATCAGTCTTTCTTACTTTTACCATTTCCTTATCACATTAGGTATGTATTTTACCTACAGTCATCTTTACTCAGAAAGAAGAGACATCCTCAGAGTCTCTTCCATGAAAAAGAAGAAAACGTGAGGCACACTGTTCTGATGTGACACAAGACAAAACAGGCCTTATGGATTCTGCTGCAGCAAAGTCAACACAGGAAGAATTTTGGTGGGAAAGTACCCAGTATTTGACAACAACCTGTGACAGCAGTCTTTGATTCTCACACATTATATTTTCAAAATGTATACTCTGAAAATGTGTTTCTCTAAAGCTGTGGATTTTGTACAAGTTAAATTTATATTGTATGAAGCCTGATTATTTTGCTGTAAGGGTAATGAGAAATAGATTAACTAGAGTAGATTCAATTAAATTGAGAAACCAAAGCTGTTAATCTAACTTACATCTATTTCTTTCACTTCTGGATTTGCAAGTAGCAGCAGATCCATAGGAGGGCAGTGATGTGAAACACGCTCTGAAGTTGTCTAGAATAACATATTTTAGTTATTTTAGTGTGCAAAGAGAACAGGTGCCCTTTACAAACTTTAGGTAACTTAGTCTACTTTCCTCCAATATGCTGCTGAAATACACATCTGGAGTCACCAAAATGAAGATAAAGAACTAGAGAAACTACACTTAACTGGGTCATTATAAGAAATTAAAATTTCATTACTAAATAATACTTTAATTTTTTAAAGCAAATTACCTGAAGAACCTTCCTCCTTCCTAAAATGAAAGCCCAAAAAGAAACACAGGTAACTTTATGATTATGGTAATTTTGAAATAGGGATGTGCATTGATAATAATTTGAGGTATCTACAACAATTATAAGATCTGTAATTTCCTATGGTGACATAGTCACAATTGTTAGTGTAATTGTGGTTGGTTGCTTATATTAAAATTGACATACTAAATTTCATTAGAGATTTGTGAAAATAAGGGTATACTTTCTTCTCCCACTCAAGTTCATGTTCCGAGGTTAAGTAAACAAGAGAGGAGCCATCTAGCCAATTGGATATCACCAAGATTGCAAACTTCATTCCTTTGGCTATCTATTTTAACTGTTTCCATCAAATCTCCATTTTGTTTTATTCAGTGTGATCAAAGGCTTAGTTTCTCAAATCTAATTAATATAAAATAGGAACCATTAGATATTTTGAAAGCTTAAGATATAACTTTTAAATGATCTTTCTTTGGAGTTTCAAATGCCAAGGTGAATTACCTGAATTTCCAAGTAATCCAAGCAAAGGAACAATAATCACAGCAGCAGTGCCTGTGGTGAAGGAAAAAAAAAGGAAAACTGCACCAAATCAACTGCTGTGGAGAATTTACTTCATCACTCAGCAAAAGTCTACTAAAAATGCAACACACACACTCATATGTAATGTCAGAGTCCCTGAGCTTTTCCTTTATCATAGCTGAAACAAGACAATAACAAACACTTCCAGCATGCTCATTCAGTTAGATGAGTTTTATTTTACTGTAGTATGCTTTCCATGAAACACTCTTATCCTGGCCTTAGCTTTTGATCCAATAAACACGTTAACCTTAGTAGAAGGAGTTGAGCCCCAGTCGGCTGCATACACATGCCTATGTTCACTCAACAAGAAACACTTATTTTGTGCCAAAATGTGGGAGACACAGGTTAATGTGATTAAACCTTTACCAGGCTTCCTGCAAACATGTTTGTTATTAAAGAATGTACCACATCTGCCCTGGCCGGTGTAGCTCAGTGGATTGAGCGTGGGCCTGCAAACCAAAGGGTCATCAGTTTGATTCCTGGTCAGGGCATCAGTTGGGGTTGTGCGAGAGGCAAGCAATTGAAGTTTCTCTCCCTCTTTCTCCCCTTTCTCTGAAAATAAAATCTTAAAAAAAAAGTTTTCTGTGCATTTTCTTATACTTAAATCGTTTTTCAAGATACTCAGTGGGAATTATTAACCAACTAATCTATCTTTGTTAAAGTATCTGGCATTTTAAATCTTGCTTTAATGAAGGTTAGTCAATTCTCTATGAAAATCAATTAGTAAAAACATCCCATGTAGGAGTCCACTGCATACTTACTTCGCGGTACTCAGCTGAACCATGGGGACCTGTGAGAACAGATGCAGTCTGGAGTTAAGAACACTGGTTTTGACTGGAAATCCAGCTCCAATATTTATGTACTGAGTAAATCCCCAAGTTCCAGTTTCCGTAACTGCTTAAGGTGGTTGTGAAGAGCAGATGAAGGATGGTGCATTAAACCTTTGTAAATTATGAAGGGCTACACAGTAAAAATTTTGTGTCGTGTTTCCTGGATGCTCTCCTTTATTGCATGATGGTTTCCTGATTTATATTTTCTGAACATAAGCTCCATGAGGACAGGCATGTCCTGTCTTGTTTACTTTGCATCTTAGAGGCTTCTTTGGTGGTGCATTGTAGACACAATTGTTTTGCAAATCTGACTTTATGGATTACTACTAGTACATCCAGAAAAGAAAAAGTCTAAGAAATCTAGCAAATTAGGTGATGTTTCCATTATATTTGATTAATCTTAGCATACCTTATGTTCAAAAGAAACCTAATATAGTTTAAAAACAATTTATATAAGTATCTTAATGCGCTACTACTTGCTTCTGTGTTTTAAATGTTAAAGAGAACACTTGACTGATTAAGAAATTTCCATTACCTTACTAAGTCCCAATGTACATAGCAGGCCTGTATTCAAGTGTTACAGCTACTATTTTCAGAAAACACATAAAAGTGGTAGCATTTCTATTACATTTTAGAATTTAGGAAGCATATTTTTGGATTCTTTTAACCCTCACAACTACCTTGTGAGGTAAGTTATTCCTTTTATCCAAGAAATAAAACCAAAGTCAGGGAGTCATCCCTGCCATTTTTCTTCAGTTTCACATCCAACAATTTAGTTGGATATTACTTCACAGGTTCCCTATGTTTGAAAAGAATTGAATGACCTTTCTAAATTACAATTTAAAAAATTTTTGTACTGCTTGTGAATATTAATAGATTACATGCTAACTACTAGTTTATAAATATAATATGTATCATACATTTTAAGAGACTGTAGAATTTCCAGATTTAGAATAAAGTATTTCCTTCCAGAAAATCTGAAAACATGTTCCCTTACCCTAGCCCAGAGTGGTGATGAACACATTTACACACCAAGGTGATGCTGGGAGGTGGCTTCCACAAGAGTGATGCGGGATGTGCACCGTGGCAGCCTCACTCTGTCCCTTGGTTTCACCTGAAATGCCTGCTGTTTGTTGACCATAGGCTGGGTCAGAGATACGAGCTGACCAGGGACGTACCCAACAACTCTGACTTTAAGGAAGGCCCCATCCTCTCCACCACATGATCTGATTTATCTTCTAAAACAGCAACTACTAAAGTGCTTACCAAAAATCTAAACCTACATCTTACTTTCAAAGTGATTAAGTTATTTCAAGATACTAGTTGAGTCCTTAACAAAGTCTTATTCCTTATATGGTTATAATATCAATCTCTTTGGTTAAAATCGTTTGGAGAAATTGACTCTGTCAATTAACTTCAAAAAAAAGGTTAGTAACAACTTATTAGTTCCCACAGAGCCATTAGATACAAATACAACACAAAGAAGATTTTAGGCACTTACACAAGTCCCAACATCTGTTCCAAATGAACACTTTTCAAATCCAGAACCAGGGCGTTTGCATATTTCTGAGACACACAACATATCTTTAGCCCCACATGTCAACTGTTAGTGTATCTCAGCACACTGTTTGTCTTGGCGACTTATGATTTCAAAAAATAACAGAAGATGACCAGTAAGGAAACTTTTCCTTTTGTATAGAGTTTGGAACATCTGGTCTAAAAAAGCAGAGACTTCTGGTTTTTAGGGAAAAAAGTGAAATATCCTAAGGGAATAATTAATTCTTACCTGAGGTCATACAGGTAACCAAATGAAGGGGTTTTACTATTCCAATGTCCTATATCTTAGAATGTTGAGCTTCTAAAATTTTTAGATTTTCAAATTTCGAATCTTCCATTTAGACTCTTTAGAGATTCCCATGAATAGGAAAACCCTACAAATTTTGTGCACAAGAATGCTGGTGACAAAAACAGGAAGCCAGGGAAGCGGGGTTGGGGGCATATCTTACCCCTCCCTTTGTACTCGTCTGTATCCTTGTCAAGGGCAGGGGCAGAGACGAAGTCTGCGAAGAACGGGCAGACTCCTCATCCTTTCCTTAAGCATCAGTCAGCTCTCTCTCGGGAGAAAACTGCAGAGTAGTTCTTCAGTGCCCACTTCCTTTTCTCTGTTCTTTATTGCCATCCATGTTTGCAACCTGGCCCAGGAATCTAGTCCTTTAACCCACAAAGGACCAGTTTCTTTGCACTGTAGCTCCTAAATTTCTCAATTCCAGAGACTTACTAACATGAGGCAGGATTATTTTTTTGATCTGACTACAGCAATCTACATTAAACATATAAGCTGTAGGTTTAATAAAGCATATTAAACCACAAGCATATTAAAACCAAGGTTTAATCCTTGGTGGAAGTTTCCATCTTAAAGTACGTGTTGAGCCTGATGTAGTAGGAGAACTGGATCTGAGGTTCTAGGAGCTTGGTTCTAGGAATAGCTCTGTCACTTCTAAGATGTGTTTTCTCCATTTAAAAATAGAAAATAATGCCTCTTCACAGTCTTGTTGCATGAGTTAAACAAGATAACACAAGTGAAAGCTCTAGTGCACTATCTGGCATCTAACAGTAAATATTAGATGAATTTCAACCTCTCATTGTAGTACGAGAAACTGTAGGTGGGAAAAAGAGGGTATTCTACATTTTTGTTTCCTTTAAATTCACTTCCCTCTAGCTCTGCCTCTGAAGAAGAATATATATGAAATATTAAGTCCCACAGTGCTCAGAAAGCAGTAGGCACTGCGCATAGCACAACAGACACAACAGTACGCTACTCCAATGACACGATATCTCTCCCCGGTGATCCTATATATGTGTACAGCAGTATGTTTATGTGATTGGCTAATGGCAACCCTGATTAATGACTACATGAAGGGAAGATAATGAGCAAACATCAAAATTAAAATGCTGGCTGATTCTCAAGCTGTTGAGTAAAATGCAACCCTTGAGGATACTGTCACATGTCTTCATTTACTTATCATTAGGCCACTAGTCATCCTGATTAAGATAGAGATTTGTACTTATAAAAAAGATTAATCTTTCAAGGAGGTATTTGTCATGTTTTCCTTGCCTAGCATTTAATAATCTTTCTTCTGGGGAAACCCAGTACAGGGGGACATATGACCCAGGCTTGGTTAACTAGAGTACCCCACTTACGAAGGACTCCAATGTTACTCAAGATGAATCAGAGCCCTCCCCATGTTGCTACTGCCACACCTGCGAGCAAAGCCACATTTCCTTCCTTGGAGCCATCTCAACAACTACGTGGAGTGCCCAGACCCGAGAGGAACAGAGCCTGACGGCATTGTTTGACTCACTGGATGCAGCTGTGCCTGCTCAGATCTACTCTTTAACTCTTGGTTTGTGAACCAGTTATATTCTCCTTTTTAGCTGAAGTCATTTTCAAGTGGGTAACTTTCACCTGCATTCAAGAAACTCAAGCAAAAGAAAATTATAGCCATTGCTAATGAATCTGATTTAGCAACTGTTTAACACCATGCTTATTATTTAAATGTGTATAGCAGTTTGAAAAGAATACTTCATCAATAAGAATAAAAAAAGATGTCTAACACACTGAGTCAATGAATATCCTCTAGATACTTAATGGAAAATAGACTGTAATTCCACTGTCAATACTATAGTTTGCTTTTGCTAGTGAGATCTTACCTATGCCTTAAAATAAATAAAATTCAGAAAATGCAGATTATTTTACTAGAATTTTTTTTGGAGGGGAGGAACTTATATAGTCAAAGTTTCACAATGAAAATCTTAAGATGGAACTGTAGACAAATAAAAAAAAGTTCAAGTTTTCATTTCAGTCTCCACTGGCCTGGGGACCAAAGCAATGCCCCTCTCTGGGCATTCATGGCTCAGACTGTTAGTTAACTCTTTGCATCACGTCTCAGTGATCCCAGACGCAAATTCTGAGCAAATTCTTCCGTGTGTGTGGTTTTCCTCTTCCAGCTGAGAATGTGGCTGGCTGCAGCACAACTGTTCACCAACCATACGCTCTGGTCCATACGGCTTTCTTCTTAAACTCTGGGAGAACTCTTAAGGACAGCAGGGTGGCTAAGGGGACAAAAACAAAGTGCACTGTTGCCTTTGATGATGCTTCATTTGCAAAGGTAATTTAGATAAAAAATGTATCACAACAGAACTTGCCTTTTTCTCTCACTTGGCTAATCTTCAAGACTAAGACTTCCCATCAAACCTTAGGCAGAATTTTAATGGCAGAACACCATTAATAAAGACTTGGGGAAAGTTTTGTTTGCAACCAGCTCAGGGGGAAATTCTGCAGAATTATAACAAAAACTGGCCTCAGGAATATTGGTGATATTCTTTTCCTTAATCTGGGTGCTGATTACATTGGTATGTTCCCTTTATAAAAATCTACTTGTGACTTGAGTACTTTTCTACATAAATGTGATTTCTCCATTAAATACTTAATTATAAGGTAAATAAGCAACAACAACAAAAACCCCCACCACCTGATCCCATGATGACGTTAGGCTCATGGACTCGATGGAGCAAGCATAACCATGCTAAACTATATTTGAACATGTACCCGAAAGTCCACAGCTTTTCTTATCTGTCATGGGTCTGTCCCTCAGGGATCAATTTAAAACACGGAAGTCTGTGTAATGCCTGTAGGTAACATATTATAAATACTATTTTGGAATATTAATATAAATATATTGAGATGTTATTTAAAATATAATAGGGTGAAGGAATGTAGGTAAGCCAGAGTTACACAATTATTGTATAAGACTCTAATAAGCTCTTGAATATATAATCAAGTTGAGTATGTACTTTCTTGACCCACATAACTCTTTTCCTCATCAGTATCAAATGTTTGTTACCTTCATAACCTAAGACAGTGTATGTTTGGAGCAACCAATAATGTTATGGACCCATGGCTATTAGAAATGAGTCCAAACTCCCTGATGCAAACAAACGGAGGAAATCCTAGCAGCAAATCTCTAGGGATGGACCTAGTTGAAATATTTCAGGCCCCGACCCTTAATCTCAATGAAGTTCTGTGACTGACCAGAATCACCTTTATAGACATGGCCTCCACCCACACTTTGTGGGTAGGGAGAAGAATCAGAACCAATAATTTAGGAAATTCTTGCTTGTTTGGCATGTAATAAATTATACCACACTTAAAGTAAAATACGGTCATGCTGTGAGTCAGGCTGGAGAGAAGCCCGACAGACTGTCGTGAGAGCAGGCAGGTAGGCACCCTTGCCAGGTCAGGGGTGCAGACTCCCCGCCCCAGCCCTAAGACGCGGATGGCACTGAAAGCTGTCTCAGGCCACAGAGCCAATGCCTAAAAGACTCCTCATATTCGAGTAAAAACATCTACCCAACTTTCACAGAAAGATCTCCTGTGTTAGTGGGTCCTGCAGCTGTAGATTAACAAATGAACAGAGGAGTACTATGAAAACACAAAGACCATCTAACTACCTGAACGCTTAGAGAATGTCCACTCCCTTGGCAAATACTTGGCAGCCATTAAAAATACTATATGAAGGCAGTGTAAGAACATGTTCAATGCTTTAAAAATAATTTCAAAATAGAAAGGCAGTATTCAAAGTGTCTGTGTATTTCGTCAATTGTTTATGATTTTAAATATGTTAAAACAGCATGTACACAGAGGGAGCAAAAACTTCTTAGGAAAAATATCAAAGTTATTGTTGGCTAATGGGATTCTGGATTCCTCTTTTTCTTTTAATGAATTTTCTAAATTTTAATTAAAGCCATATTTTATAATTATAATAAAACATTTAATTAAAAGTTAAATGGAAAGACACTGAAACTCTTTTTTAAATCTGCTTTCTAACTCAGTGCCATACTGGAGACAGCTCCAGGTGACTTCTCTGAACTGAACCAAGAAGAGCCCTTCCCAGAACCAACATCCACTAAATGTTGTTTTGCAGCACAAACAACATTAGCTTTTCACTTACATTGGGCATAAAGCATGGAAATCATACCTCTTAAAAGACCCCTGGATCTTACAGAGAGGCCTTCTTTAGGGCTGTCCATGATGTTGAATAGCCAGTCAATGAACTAGGATGAAAACAAAGAACAGTATTAGTGAAGACAATCCCACCACTAGCCAGAGATCAGTCAGACCCTTGTGCCTACGTACATGTGGATCAGCGCACTGGTCCCTGGGTAACACCTGACTGGGCTGGGAGAGTCCCTGGAGAAAGGGACTAGGCACAAGGTGTTAAAGACAGACATAGCTCCCATTTAGTCGGGTGACCCACAAAGTCAAACCTCCTTCCCTCGCTGAATACCCTCAGCTCTGCTATGGGTGGTGAGAATGAGGTACACATGGGCTCCAAGGGCCTCCTGCATGCCATGAACATTCTCTCTTGTTACTCTGAGAAGACCAGGCCAGGCAAGAGCCTTGCCCAATCCCACTTTCAATGAAGAGCTGAGTCAAGAGTTGAACCCCAGTGTACCTGGCTCCAAAGCCTTACACTCTTTCTTTGCATCATACTGCCTGCTACCTAGGTCTGTGTGCATCTAGGCCTAGGCTCCTAGGCTGGGCGTATTTGTAAAATAAAATATGTTTCTCTAGATAAGAATAGTTTATGCCCAAATGAATATGAAATAAGTGGAAATGTAGGAGAAAAGGCATAAAATAATTTATTAGGCAGAGCCAAGTGTGTTAACTGCAAATCAATCCTGCAAATAAAGTGGAAACTCACATTCCTCATGAGTTTGACTGATTTCCTAAGGTGCAGCCAGAATTGGTTGTGAATCAGATAGGGGGTAATTTCATCGACTCCTGAATGTTGCCAACCTTGACACATTTGAACTTTGGACATAGAAACTGTGCTGAAGAAAGAGTAAAATAGAGAGAGAAAAAATATTCCTAACTCCCTGCTTTAATTAAGTTTGTTTCTTTATTTTCCTTTTATCAATTTTGTTTTAAAATATCCTACTGGTAAAGTAAATATGCTCAGTGGAATTGTGCATAGCTGCACTGTGGGTGCGCAGTTCAAAGTGTTTTTTTATAGATTGGTGTTCAGGTTTTATGAATAAGCTACATGAAGTTAGAGTTAAGCTTTCAACCTCATAAAAATCCAATTTTGATTAAATGACATTCAGAAAAGAATCTTTCAAACAACTGTATTAAAATAAGGATAGGTCAGAACCACATAATGAGAATCCCAAGAAAGCACAGTATTTTCATATGCTCTGCACAAAAACTAGTAGCCTGGAGAATCTTAGTATCAAAAACCACAAGGTACCTCCTACCGTGTGGATCTCCCTGAGGGCAAGGGTGATCACAGTAGGTCTGTACAAATCTCCCTGTGGTCTCTAGCACAAGCCAGGAGCACCATGGCACCTGGGGCCTGGCTGCAGGATGAAATGAGCTGAGCTACAAGATGATGGATGCTCCAGACTCACGCTTCCCCACAGGAGATTTCTCTGATTCCCTCCCAGGCACTGTTGATCACTCCAGTCCTTGTTCAGCAGCACTGTATCCTCCTTCACCATACTATCTTGCAATCTTGAACTTGTCTTCCTCACTTGGAGATTCTGAGCTCTCAGAGACTGATCATTTCATCTCCAGGAGCAAAACCACATGTGCCTTCAATAAACGAATGCGTGTATAAGCTTTTCCGTCCACCTCACCTCCACTGTAAGCAAGTTGTTACTATTGTCATAGTTAGCCTCCATCTCTGAGGCTCCACATCTGGCTGAGATTTGGGGCTGAGCATGAAAGCCTGTGGAGTGATTCAAGTTTCACTTAACTCCCACTTCAAATCTACAGCAGAAATTGCTGAGGAGCAAATGGCTGCCTGCCCTGATGAGCAGGTGGCTGACAACCTCACCTTCTGGGTCTGTTCCTTCCACGGCTCTTTCTGCAGCAGAAGAAGCATGCTACTGGGCAGGAGAGTGAGAACCTCCTGCAGAGTGACCCTGTGCATTGGACTTCTGCCAAGGAAGCTTGATGCTGGCTCAGCAGGGCCATTTTCTTGATGCCATGGCAACCAACTGGCACTGAGACCGAGGAGGAGAGGGGCAGCATGGTCTGCCCATGCAACCACTGCGGTTGCAAATATCAGCAAGAAGAAGTCCAAAGCCTACAATGGAAATTGAAACAAGGCTAGGTCACATGTTTTCACAATTTGAAGTAACACATGTTCACATGCACAGCCCCCATCATGATGCAATGTTATCTTCCCCTTCACTCAACTCCTCCTGCCTCACCCTGCTCCAGGAGAGGAACTGGACTGAAGAACAAACTCTGTTTCCATGCTTAATAAAGAGACAAGGTAGGGCTTTGGTAGGTTTTTGGGATCCTCTTTTGTGAATACAGAAGGCCTATCATTGTCATTATTATTGCTTTAACATTTCAGGAGAAACAGAATTGAATTGCACTAATCACACTGAGATCCAAATACTCATCTGATTTGAGTACTCAAAGATATTAAAAAATTAATTAAGAGTGATATAAAGAGAGATATTTAGAAGTATATTTCTAGTCTTACTTTATTTTGAACAATAACAAATAACTCTCCTCATCAATTTTAACGAATCTGCCTAGAATCTAACCCTTTAGATTTTAGACTAATATAGACAATTGTAGAAATGGTGGTAACACAGGCTGCCTTTGTGCTGTTGGGTTACTGTGATTTAAACTTCACTTCTTTTTGCTTGTCTCTATTGTCCAGGTTTGAAAAGATTTTCATAAGAAAACAGAGAAGACTAATAAAAATTTAGGAGATTAGAAGAAAAAGAGAACAGATCATGCTAGTTTAAAAAAATTTAAAAATAACTCCTCAATTTCTTAAAATGCCTATTCTTGCTAACTAAAATTTTAAAACACACATGACTCTTCAGAGACGTGTGGCAGAATTTCAAACAACATTTGAAATCCTACACATTTTTATTCACTAAGGAAACACATGATACATGTCTATAGGGAAAAAAATATTCCCCTAAAAAATGCACAGTGGGCTGCTAAGAAAATGAGGCAAGTGGGAAAGTGCTGTTATCATTTTATTTATCAATCTTTTTCTTTTTTTAACTTACCCAATACCAGTAGTTGTTAACCTTTTTTGGGGTCACAGGTCATTTTGAAGTCATGCTGAAAACCCCTAATATATGCACACACCTCCCCACCCCCCATAAGTATTGGCGGACACAAATTACTTGCATACACTCCAGGAATCTCTTCAGACCAGCTGTGTGAGGCCTCATGGGCCAGTGTGGAGGCCAGAATCCTGTAGCCCACCCCCTCTGTGGGATCAAGCCTAAGTACATGGGACCCTGGGTCCCCTCTTCAGCTAGTGTCCTCTGTCTGCTGCCTGTTAAGCAATGTACTCTGTGGGAATATTTTTTCAAAGGTCAGCCCTCGTTATCTCCAAGAGCCTGGTAAGAACATGTGTTTGTGACATCAGAGTTGTCACCACTGTTGTTTCCCAAAAATAAAAACAAGGAGGAAAAGAAAGCTACAAGTAGCAACATATTCCTCTTTGAGGACAGCCAATATAAGTTCTATATTTTAAGAAAGCTACAAATTACTTCTCTAAATTGTACCTCATCGAGAGCCACATTGGGAACAGGTGTTGACTGGTAAGCAACATTTCGGATATAGCCCATCAGTTCTAAGAGCCATTCCATTCTCTTCAACACACCTGAAAAGAAAAAAAAAAAAAACATTTTCTGACCCAGCCATGGTTTTTCCTTTGAAATGCAAAACAGAACAGTAATAACTGTCATAACTCAAGAACAGCTGGTGAGGGTTTCATGAAATGGCCTCTCACAGTACTGGAGACTTGCAGTCATCCGTGGGAGTGGACACTGTTCATACCAAATGACTATTTTAGTCTTTGTTTTCAATAGCTAATTTATTCTTCAAACCTACCCACCCACTAATGATACATGCATTTCTTAGAGTTTCTTTCTGAACATTAAACACACTTTGGGAAATCTGGCACACCAAACAACCAGTAATGTTGAATCTTGGATTAGTTGTTTTTATAGTTTTTAGCTTAAATGTTCCCACTTTATGCCAAAATCACAGAAAAAAAACTATCCAAAGACATAAAAGGAAAAATAGAAACCAGCTGTTATAGGGTAACTGGAGAATAAACAACATAAATATTGATTTTCCCCTTTTTTATTTTTTAAAAATGAGGATTCCCATTAGAGTAAAAACTACTTGGAAAGGTTTTCAAAATTAAGGTTAGAACCAAAGGCAGTATCAAATTTATTTCAATCTGCTTCATGTATCTTCATGCTTAAATGGGAACACCTACTGTATATTTTTTCTTGATAAATACTGTTTTGATTTAGAGAAAAAAAGTCGAGTTTCTCATCACAGGTTCATTTTTCAATTGGTGAAGCACTAACACAGAGGTGAGACCACTGTTTCAACTGCTAAAGAGGTAGAGGAATCCAATTTCCCATATGGTTTTGAAAAGAACATTATAATTAGGTGTGCCAGTTTCCTCTCAGAACTTCACACATACAATTAATGGGGAAAACTGGGCAAAGAAACATAAGTAACTGGCCTGTGGTCACAGGGCTTCCCAGCCACATCTCGTCCTCGTAACCAGGCGCCCCTCAGAACCTGGACGTGGACTCGAGAAGTCTAAGCATGTGAATAAGGGCCTGGGGGAGAAATGAAGGCGTTCCCTTTTCAGACGACTCTAAACCCTAAATGTCTAAAAGGGTTTCAGAGTTGCACTGTGTGATTCACTAGCAGAGCCTTGGCTGGAACTTCTGGCTTGAGGATATACGTAGGTTGTCCAGATTTCTTTCTTCTCACTTCTGAGAAGTTCTGTGATAGAACAACTATTTAATTTCATTGTTTGTTTTTTGATTGTTAAATAACTACCCGAATGCCATTTTTCATAAGAATATCAGGCCTAATCAATGGCTGTCCAGTCTATTTGAGAAACTGAAGCAGGCAGAATCTACCTGATAAACTTGTTTATATCCTTGAGGGCCAAAAACAAGATAAAAATCCTCAGAAGAATTTGATCCCATCTCCAAAGAGCAGATGTTGTGAGATGTAACAGCTCATTTCCATCCAAGATGCTCCTCATTTGAGGTAACCAGGCCTCACCTGGTCCAGAAGCACTAAACCAGTTTTTAAGTTGAGGAAACAATTATCCTTCAAAAGGGATGGTAGCAGACCCTTCTGTTCCTGATGTTTGCCTCCTTGGGCCTCACCTGTGTTGGCATGGCTCACAATCCGTGCGTGGTATAAGCTGTGCAGCATCATCCAGGCCAGCGTGTCTTTTTCATGGTGCCGAACAGCAACACTGAGCATGTCAGTCAAGCCCATCAAGGGGAACCGTCCTTGAGAGACCAAGTACAGTCTAACAAAGGCTGCCTTTTCTATGCTGCTCTGCAAAACAGCAAATTGTTCTGTTGCTATTAAATTAACTGAAGTCATCACAGGCCCTCAGGGCAAGGGCAAAACAGAAAGGGTGAGAGTGAAGTTGATTATTATTCCAAATGCTAAACTGCTCATTTCCTGCAGCGTGTGACCTAGCTGCCTGCGTGCTCTATTAAAATGTGCATGTAGATTGAGCATTGCAGTGTCACCTCCTGTTTTCTTACAAAAACCATAAATGATTTCAGGGATTAATTGGTGATGATATTTAGTAAAAATACACAAATGATAACAATGATCACACACACACACACACACACACACACACACACACACACACACAAGTAGTTATCATGTACCTGGCACCATTCTGAGCACTTAACCTGTACTGATTTGGCAGCACACAGACCTCTGGGGGATCCCGAGACCCTTTTAGAGGATCTGTGAGGCCAAACTATATTCATAACAGCATCAAACTGTAGTAATAATATTCAGTATATTTTTCACTGCCACTTGAAATTTTTAAAAAATCTAGTTTCACTTAAAATGTTCCTGTAAATGGAAATTATTAGTTTCATTAAGCCTTTGCCCTTGAGTGCACATCTTTCCCATATTCTGTGTGACAGAACGGGGAGCACCTGTAGGAGACTGCTGCTGTATCACGGCATTCTCAAGGGAGAGCACTCGTAACACTGAGCTGCAAGCTGAAATGGCCACTCTTCCCATGAACACCCATGGTTATTCAAACTGAGTATCTGGAAGACTGTTTTCTTAAAACTGAAGGAAATGAGACTGTCACTTCAAAGAAAATACTTCACAATATTCACTGCCAATAATAAACTTGAAATTTCAAGCACAAATTAGATTTTTACGAAATCTATATCTGCTTATATGGGTTTGGCAGCTTCCCAATACATAAAAGACTTTTCTGATGAAATTGCTGGTGATATTAATATGATATTTTGATATTATATAATGAAATGTATCAACATTTGAAAGATTTTCAAAACTTAGTGATTCAAAATTTTTCAAATGGCCAACGTACGATATTACAAAATCATGCACTGGTAACAGACTGAGAGCACAAGAGAGACTGAAAGATTTTAATGTAACAGAGTATATGAAGTTCATGGATTACCGTATTTTCAGACCATAAGACACACGTAGGTTTTATAGGAGGAAAATAGGGGAAAAAAAACTTGAAGCAAAAAATGTGGTAAAATATTTAACATAAATAACATATTTCACCAGTGTAAATGGAACACTACATTCGGACTATAAGACACACCCCCATCTCCTCCCAAATTGGGGCGGGGAAGTGCGTTGTATAGTCTGCAAAATATGGTATTTCAGACTCCCACTGCAACCAACCTAGAAGCAAGTACCACTTGCTGCATTTCGATGCAATATCAAAGAAAGATACCCATAATTATCTGACAAGCCTATTAACACACTCTTCCCTTTTCTACCTGCATATCTGTATGATGCTGGGTTTTCTTCACATATTTCACCAAAATAATGGACAACAGGTTGAAAAAAGCACAGCTATGAGACTCTGTCTTCTATTAAGGCAGACATTGAAGAGACTTACAAAAACGTGAAACAATGCTACTTTTCTCACTAGTTATTTTGATTTTCTGGAAAATATTTTTTTATTTGTTAAGATACAATGGCTTTATTATTATTACTTTTAAGTAAATCATTCTATATTTCCTAGTTTTAATTTCCAATATGGTAAATGTTGACAGAGATAATCCATGTAAATAAAGCTTTTTGGAATGAATTATCAATCATGTCTTAATTTTTAAGACATGAAAATAGTCCTGAGACCAAAAAGTTTAACTACTATATTAACCATGGACTTCTCACACCAGCTGTATGCAGTAGGTTACTATGTTCACCCCTCCTTTTCAGATGAGGAGACTGAGGCACAGGGGTTGGGTAACTTGCTTAAGGTCATACAGCTTTGATGGCAGAAAAAAATGGGAACACATGGATTCTGAGGTCTTCACCACTACTGTTTTCTTACCCCTATTATTTCCAGAAATGATAACAGTGACCTCAGTGGAACACACTAACTCTTTTGGGGACATCAGAAGACTATTTAGTATGCTGTAGTGACAGTGTCTTGAATGGTACGTTAGGAACCCAAGTGAATAACATAGCAACCTCTAGTGCTTGGTACCACAAAGTAAATCGTATGCACTACCTCTGAGTATATTACATGAATATAATCACAAGATATAATAAATTACATGAAAATCATAATTATGATAATAAATCAGTATTGAGTCTTCACCTTGGGTCAGGTACTTTTCTAAGAACTTAATGTGCATTAAGTCATTTAACTCACAAATTAACCCAAACAGGTAGGTGCTCTTACTTCCCTTTTACAGATGAGGAAACTCAGGCAGAGAGAGGTTATGAAATGTAACTAAGGTCACATTGGTAAATTAGAGAGCTGGATTTCAAACCCTGGATGTGAGGCTCCATAGTCCATTCATTTAAGCTTTTCCTGGTACTGGTTTTCCTTCCTTAAAATCGCATCTCCAAAATGCTGGTGTTCTGAGTGCTCCAGTGTCCTCAGACCTCAGGAATGCCCCAGACACCTGGGACAGCTACTGAAGCACACTCTCCTGGCGCCACCCCAGAGCTTCTGAGGGAGTAGGTCTGGGTGGAACTTGAGAACTTGCATATCTAATCAGTTCCCAGGCTCAGGGAGCACACTTTATGAATCGCTGCTACATGATGCAGAAGTTCAAGGATGTGACTGGTTAGGTAAAATCCTCCTTAAAGTGGAATAAGATGTCCGCCCACTATGTGAGGACTCACAGTTCTACAGAACTTTGATATTACCTGGTAAGCAGGGTTGCCATTTGAACAAGTATGTCCACTGGGATGTAATTAGAGTAAAAAATTATTCATTGTTGACCTGCAATTCAAATTTAACAGGCCATATTTGCTAAATCTGGCAACCTCACAGATACGCTATCTCCCACCCATTCATCATTTGTCTGGGCATGGGTCTGAGGGTGCTTGTTTTTCAGTCAAACACCTTTCTCTATTCCAAAAGGATAAGCAACAGGCAATGAAAAATAAATGTAAGACCTGAACTATTTATGCCTTCCATGCACCAGAAAGTTCTTTGGATAAAATATTCCCATTCTTGGGAAGACGGATTTTATATTGAAGATGTTGTCCTGTACTTATTTTTGCCCACAGGTGACACTAACATGTTCTTGATAAAGTGGGATTAGTCAGGTTAAAGGGCCATTACACACAACATTTGTAAGAACCAACCATACTACCAGCCTGGACACAAGACCAGAGTGAGGCAGGTTTCTGAAATTAACAGTAACAAGTAGGAAGCAAAACTAGATTCAACCAAAATGACACTGTAATCAACTCTTCAACTGTAATTCCCACCTAACTAATGAAAACAGACATAGATATGTTATTACCTCAGTAACCTGGGCAACCTGATTGGCTTCATCATCTGTCATTTCTGAGAGGCATTTTGCCACACTGACATACAGCTCTAAATCATTTCTCTGGTAAAGAAAAACAAGCATGTCAAATACAATGAAAGGTAAGTATATTCTTAATGTTCTAACAAATTATTATATTTGCTTATCTCCATGAACAGCAATTGATGAGGTTCTAATTTTTTTTTAAATCCTTACCCAAGGATATGTTTTTATTGATTTTAGAGAGAGAGGAGGAAGGGAGAGAGAGAAACATCAAAGCAAGAAACATCAGTTGTTTGCCTCCAAACACGCCCTGACTGGGGATCACACCCACAACCTAGGAGTGTGCCCTGACCAGGGATGGAACCCGCAACCTTCTGTTGTATGGAATGGCACTCCAACCGCTGAACCACCCAGCCAGAGCAAGATTTTAATTTTAACATGTGGTCTTTCTCATTAAAAAAAAAAACACATCTTTCCTGCTACTGTGTATTTGTTTGACTGTTCTTTCTTTATTCTCATCAGAATCCATCATTCCAAATGGATTATTAACATCTTCGTAGAACTACAATTCAGGGGTCTGTTGGGGGAGCAGGGGCCAAGGTTAGTGCTAGGTCATATGAACAGCATATTGAAAAACATGCCCAGGGATTCTCCAGGTGTAGAGTGTGTGTGTTTCTGAGCTTGCTCAACAATTATAGGCATTTGGTAAAAGGTGTAGGAGCAAACATCCTGGTGCAGCACTGGTTAACGGGCCTCTGAGCTTGCCCAAGACTTTGGCTCTAAATATTCAACCTCAATTTAGATCTTGGAAGCAAACACATTCTTAGTGAAGAACGTGGTTATTTCTTGCTAGCCTTCCCACCACATTCTTAAAACATACACCTCCCTGCTTTGCCAAAAGGGCTTTAAAAATCCTAAACATAAATTGTCAGGAATGTAAATATTTTTGTTCCTCACCCGAATCTTATTTGGCAGAAGGTCAAAAATTTTCCCAGTAGCTTCACGGAGCAGACTCCAGAGGTGGTGGGCAGGGCTGGGCAGTTTCATAGCCTGGCTCAGACCCTGCAAGGCGCTCAGGCATAACTCACGATTGGAGAGTGGGGAAGCGGCTTCAAAAACTGCCACCATTAAGTTTTCAACAAAACCCAGGATCTGTTCATCAGAGATGTGTTTGATCCACAGAGGTGCAGATACCAGGAGGTATTTCTTGATATTCAGCTGGAAGTTAAACAGAAGAGATCAGATGTAAACGGGCAAGTCTGGATTTGCAATGCTCAAAACTTCCGGGTTGTCACTGTGTTTGAGAGTAGACTGGGACATGCCCCTCAATTTCCCACAGCTTCAGCGTCAAAGTGCCACCAGTGCATGTGACTTTGGCTGCTGCAGTGACTTCTGATCCAGCCTGACTCATGAGTATATATGGTATCAGCCAAACCACCTGCAAACTACTCAGCTTAAACCTTGGATCTTTTCAGTGAGGGGAATAAAATGCTACATCTGAAAGCACATGACAGTTGTCATTATTCAGTCTTAACAGGTCACATCTTCTGTCAAGAAAAGCTCCTGAAGATGAAAGCCTTGTCTTCTGGAAATCAATGAAACAGGGTACCTGGTAGTACTAATTTCTTCTTCTGAGGAAGCACAGGGAAGTAAGAGGAACTGGCATGCTGAGTCCACTTCTGACCAAAGAAGCACCAGCTGAGCACATGAAACTGACCCGGCATCTTAAAAGTTCGGGAGAGCTAAGAAGGGGCACGGTTAACCACAGGACTGGGCTGCAGACTTTAAGAAAGCAGGCTTCAAAAGTTGTCAGAAACATTAAGTATGATACTAAAGAAAGAGCAAGTCTAAAAGAAGTTGTATAAAGAAATCAATTCGGACAATAATCAGTAAATCTCTAAAATGATCAGTGTCATTGCGTGAGCCCTTACCTTAAAGAATAGGCCATTTCAGAATTTTTTTAATGAGAAGGGTTATAATTAAGTAAATGAATTCACAAACTTCATTTATTAATTAATGAATATAATATGAAAAGCCCATAATCAAGGACAAATGCAAAAGAGCAGCACAGATCTGAAAAGAAATGGAAAAAAAAGTAAAACCTAAAAAAATTTCTGAGGTCAACAAAACTGGCTGGGAGAGTCACACCTGATTCAAAGGGAAGGAATTACAGCACAGTGTTTAGGGCACAGGCTCTAGGATCATTCAGACTCCCCTCCACTAGTTAGGTACGTGAATTTTGCCTCAGTTTATCAACCTGTAAAATGGAAATAACAAAATATACTGCTCAGAAGTAAAATAAGCCAGACATGGAAGACTTCATATTGTATGATTCCATTCTACAGAATTTCTAAACTTTATAGGAAATTTAAATTTATATGAAAGTTCTTTCAAAAAGGCAAAAATACAGAGACAAAGAACAGATCAGCGGTCACCTGGGTCTGACCCTGGGAGTGCAGATTGACTACAAGCAGGCAAAGGAGCTTTGGGGGTGATGGAGGAAAATTTATAAATATACTAAAACTCAAATTACACTTAAAATGGCTATACTTTATGGAATGTAAATCATAGCTCAATAAAGCTGTAAGAAAAACCAGTCTGTCAGGGTTGAAGAGATTTAATCTGATGTCTGAAAGTACTCACTGAGTGTTTGCTTATAAGTAGCTGGTGCATAGCAAGCTCTCAGCAAGTGGTAGCCAGATGGGAGCTGCTTGGAGCAGAGAGGCAATGATAAAAGCTGACAGAGAGGATGCAGATATCAATAACATTGACTGTCAATTAAAAAGTATTAGGAGACATCGGAGAGCTTAAAGAAAAAAGTGAAGAGTAGGGACTGAAGCCAAAGTTTGAGGAAATAATAGGAGGGTTTTGCAGTATTCTCAAAGAATTAAAGCCTCTTCGAAGAGAAGATTAACAAAGGTAAGGTTATTTAACTTATTGTCCACTAGCAAACCTCTAAGGAAGCACGGAACATTTCCTTCATCCTTTAGGAATGAAGACAGGAGTACCACTGAAAAACAAGCACCATTAGCCCTGACCTACGGTAATTCACAAATGACAGGCTATATCGCTTCTTTCTCAGCACTTCGTTTAAGATGCACACCCTAGCAGAGACATCCTACTCCCTGCACCTCTCCTGGTGTCTCTAATTGATGCCTAACCAAATCCTATCTAGCTTTCAAGGCTCATTTTAATTGTTGTCTTTTCAGTGAAAAGAAGGAATCATATATCCTGTACGTGTGGATTGTCCCTCTTAATACTTACTGAAATGACTATGTTATCATATAAACAAATAAGCCTAGGCTCAAATAACTCTACAACTTTCTACCTGTATGAACTTGAAAAGGGAACTTTAGTATCTTGGATCATCATTTTCCCTTTTTATAGTAAACAGTAATTGATGGCATGAATGGTGACAGCTATGGCAGAGTTCTGAGTCTCACAATGTTCCACTCTGCTGGCCAGTGACTGTCAAACCCTCAACTTTTCTATAAAATCCCACTTTCCCACTCTTGACTTTGAGAACACACACCCCAATAAATATTAACCTCCCCCAAAGAACCATACCCTCGTGTTGCCAACACCCTCAGTTGCTACTTACACTAAGACCGTGGACCAGCGGTGGCATCACCCACAATCCCAACAGTGAAGCTGCATTCTGGGATGACTGTGCCTGAGTCACCATAATTTCAAGGCACAGTTGCTGTATCTCTTCACCTAAAAGAGAAGAAAGAAAAAGAACATCTAGTGTAGCTGCTTCTATGATTTTTAGCTTTTAGTGTCTCAAATCAAAGCATCTGCTTGTGTGACTTCTACAGGTAACAGAACTTCAGTAAACCAAGAGCTATTTCAAGAGACCTTTTGGAGATGAGGTAGAAGAATGTACCTACTAGCATCAGAATCCCAAGCCTTAGGACATATAAGGGCCTTGAGCTAGCAAGGGTAGTATCTCTTATGATACCCAGATAAACCTAGACACTCTAATGCTGTCAAAACTTTGAGAAAATTTTAGCTAAAGATGTCTTTGCCTTTGCTTTCCTCTCCTCTCAACCTTGCATTCAGCATATAGAGAAATCTGTCTAGATCTAGAAGGACTTAAAAGATGTAGCCGCATTCTGAAGTGATTGAGCCTTTCTAATAGTCTGATCCACATCAGCAGACATACTTTCTTATTTTCTCCAAGGAGTTTACTAAAACACAAGCATTTTCAACAAAGCATGCAAAAACAGGGGAGGGGTGGGGAGACATATTTTTCAAATGAAATCTCTGATAACACAGTACAGTAACATCATTTCTTACAGTGGGATTGGGTTAAAATGAAAACATTTAAATTAAAAATTGTGTACAGTTAAAATCATCTTTGATTATCCCTTAAATTGCCCATAAATTATAGTATACAAATATTTCTTATATACATAAGTAAACATCCTACTATAAATAATAGCAGTTGTAACAAATTCACACAAACACCCACACTTGCAGCGCTGTTAAAATTATTCTCTCTCTTTTGGGGGGTGTGAGGGGCAAGTACATGAACTTAAATTTGTAGATGCTAAGCCCATAAAAGAGGGTGCTGTGGATGAATTAGAGGTGTGGAGGAAGTCATTCCCTTTGCCTCTCACCACAAAGTACCTGTGGTGGACGGAATAATGGTCCCCAAAGACGTCCACATGCTAATCTCTGGAACCCGTGAATATGTTACTTTGCATGGCAAAGGAACTCTGCAGATCTGATTACATTTAATGACCTGGAGATAGGGTAGTTATCCTTGGTTATTTAATTGGACTCATTTAATTACATAGATCTTTAAATGTGGATAATTTTGTCCAGTTTCAGAGAACCAGAAAGATGACAGTATGAGAAGACCGGCCCTCTGTTCCTTGCTTTGATGATGGAGAAGGGGCGGGAGGCACAAACCAAGATATATGGGAGGCCTCTAGAAGCTAGAAAAGGGAAAAAAAAGATTCTCCCTATCATAGTCTGCTTGGGTTGATACCACAGACTGGGTGGCTTATAAACAGAAGAAATTTATTTCTCACAGTTCTGGAGGCTGGAATTCCATGATCAGGGTGCCAGCAGGGTCAGATTCTGGTGAGGATCCTTTCTGGGGAGGCAGACTGCCAATTTCTCTCTGTGTCCTCACCTGGGGAAAGTGCTAGGGAGCTCTGTGCGGCCTCTTTTATGAGAGCATTAATCCCATTCATGAGGGCTCCAGCTCTCATGACCTAATCGCTTCCCAAGGGCCCCACCTCCTTGTATCATCATACTGGAATTTAGGATTTCAACATAGGAATTTTGGAGGGGTATAAATGTTTAGACCGTAGGACCCCCACTAAAGCATCTAGAAAATGATGCTGCTCTGCTTATACCTTGATCTTAGCCCAGAAAGAACATGCTGGACTTGTGATCGACAGAACTGTAAGACAAATAAATAAATTTGTGTTGGCCCAAGCCACTAAGTGTGTGGAAATTTGTTATAGCAGCAACAGAAGACTGTTGCAGCATCCCACTGGCTACTTCCCTGAAACACAGGGCTCTGGAAGTATAGTTTGAGAAGCATCCAACCTGACCTTTTGGTGCCTGAAACACAAGCCCAACACCAAGCACATCTCAGTCAAGTGTTATCTTGATGAGTGCGTATTTCTGCATCTGTCTGTGTCTTCAGACCTCCACTTCCTTATCCTCAACTGTTTACAAAGTGACCAGTGAAAGCAATCCAGTGATCCCATCCAAGAAGCCAAACTTCAAAATCCCAAAGGTCTATCTGGTCAGTGCTACCTGTGAGACAGGACACATTTTTCTGCCCGGGTCACAACTTAAAATCAGACTCCAGAGACCTAAAAACACTTGATGTTTACCAAAGTTCAGCCTCATGAGCGGAGAGAGCAATGCAGCCCAGTTCACTGGAGGGTACTGGTAGTTCTCGCCAACCATTGCTATGGGTTTCATCACTACCTTGAGCAGGGAAGGCGGCACAGATTCAGGACCTGCAACAAAAAGGAAAACAATAACAAAACAGTTCAGCTTTCCCTCCTGGTTCTTCTCATTTTGAAGAAATTTGGTATCACATTTTCCATTATGGTCTCTCCATCAATCTTGTTGTGTTCTTAATCTCACCCTCAATTACTACGAAACCTTGTTCCCTCTATTCTCCTCTCTCTTATTTGTCTCCAGTCTTCCCCTCATGTCTGGATAAGAAGATGGGTCATAACTGCTCAGCTACCTCCATGCTTTCTTGTGTCTTTTCACCCAGCTCTCCAAAAAGAGTAACTTCCTCTACATTACTGCCCCACTGCTCATTCACTGTTCAGTTCAATTCCAGATGGGGAGACCACTACTGCCGACGCAGGCACACTCCCTGTAAGGACTATGAATTACCTTCAGTCCCCAGGCCCTAAAGGGGCTTGTATTCCACCATGTGATTCACCGTTCTACTCCTCAGCTGGTGCCACAGCTGACTACTGCAGAGGTGAACATATAAGGTAATGGCTAATCCACAAGTTAACCAGCTATCTAGGACACAGTACCATGACTGTAATATTATATCCTTTTTATTCAAGGGGGGAGTAAATTGAATTGCAAAAAAAATGAGGCATGGAGCAGTTATAAATTGATGCATAATGTGCAGTGAGGACTGGAGTAGCCATTAAGGGTCATGAAAAAGTGAAGTTACAAGAGGGTCATAAATAATGTATAGAAAAGTAGAAGACCAAGAAGGAGAAGCAAAAGTAGCAGGAGCAACTTGAGAAGGAGAAAGGAAACCAGCATCAGAAGAAAGAAAAGCAGAATCAGCAAAAACAAGAGCATCAATAGGAAAAGAAGGATAAGGGTTAGAATCAGTAGAAAGACCAGCAGAGTTAGCAGACACTGAAAGAGAAAGCAAAAGCAAGAAGAAAGTCAGCGAAAGAAAATCAGCTATAGAAAGGAGAAGCACAAGGAAAGGATAAGCAGGGGCCAAAACAGCCACAGAATCAGCAGACACCAAAATGGAAAGCAGAAGTAGGGACAGAGTAAGTGAAAAGAAACACGCTGCAGAAAGGATAACCAAAGGGAAAGGAAAAGCAGAGGCCAAAAAAGCCACAGAACCGGAAGGCACTGAAATGGAAAGCAGAAGCAGGGAAAGAACCAGCAAAAGAAAACCAGCTGCAGAAAGGAGAAGCACAGGTAAAGGAGAAGCAGAAGCCAAAAAAGCCCCAGAACCCCAAGATACTGAAATGGAAAGCAGAACTGGGGGCAGAGCCAGCAAAGGGTAAACAGCTGCAGAAAGGAGAAGTACAGGGAAAGGAGAAGCAGAAGCCAAAAAAGCCCCAGAATCTGAAGACACTGAAATGGAAAGCAGAAGATGGGAAAGAACCAGCAAAAGGAAACCAGCTGCAGAAAGGAGAAGCACAGGGAAAGGAGAAGCAGAGGCAGAACGAGTAGCAGAATCAGCAGACACTAAAGGTGAAAGCAGAAGTAGCCAACAAAAGGAACCAACTGCACAGAGGAGAAGCAGAGGCCAAAAAAGCCACAGAACCTGAAGACACTGAAATGGAAAGCAGAAGCAGGGAAAGAACCAGCAAAAGGAAACCAGCAGCAGAAAGGAGAAGTACAGGGAAAGGAGAAGCAGAAGCCAAAAAAGCCCCAGAACCCCAAGACACTGAAATGGAAGGCAGAACTGGGGGCGGAGCCAGCAAAAGGAAACCCACTTCAGAAAAAAGAAGTATATGGAAAGGAGAAGCAGAAGTCAAAGAGCCACAGAATCCGAAGGCACTGAAATGGAAAGCAGAAGCAGGGAAAGAAGCAGGAGAAGGAAACCAGCTGCAGAAAGGAGAAGCACAGGGAAAGGAGAAGGCAAGGCAGGACAAGTAGCAGAATCAGCAGACACTAAAGGGGAAGCAGAAGGAGCCAAGAAAAGGAAACCAGCTGCAGAAAGGAGAAGTACAGGGAAAGGAGAAGCAGAAGCAGAAAAAGCCACAGAACCCCAAGACAATGAAATGGAAAGCAGAAGTGGGGGCAGAGTCAGCAAAAGGTAAACAGCTGCAGAAAGGAGAAGTACAGGGAAAGGAGAAGCAGAGGCAGAACGAGTAGCAGAATTAGCAGACACTAAAGGGGAAAGCAGAAGGAGCCAACAAAAGGAACCAACAGCACAAAGGAGAAGCAGGGGCCAAAAAAGCCACAGAACCTAAAGACACTGAAATGGAAAGCAGAAGTGGGGGCAGAGCCAGCAAAAGGTAACTGGCTGCAGAAAGGAGATGTATATAAAAAGGAGAAGCAGAAGCCAAAAAAGCTCCAGAACTCAAAGACACTGAAATGGGAAGCAGAAGCTGGGGCAGAGTCAGCAAAAGGTAACCAGCTGCAGAAAGGAGAAGTACAGGGAAAGGAGAAGCAGAAGCAAAAGAGCCACAGAAACCCAAGACAGTGAAATGGAAAGCAGAACTGGGGGCAGAGCCAGCAAAAGGAAACCAGCTGCAGAAAGAAGAAGTCCATAGAAAGGAGAAGCAAAAGCCAAAAGAGCCACAGAACCAGAAGGGACTGAAATGGAAAGCAGAAGCAGGGAAAGAACCAGCAAACAGAAACCAGCTGCAGAAAGGAGAAACACAGGGAAAGGAGAAGCAGAGACAGAACAAGTAGTAGAATCAGCAGACACTAAAGGGAAAGCAGAAGCAACCAAGAAAAGGAAACCAGCTGCAGAAAGGAGAAGCAGGGGCCAAAAAAGCTACAGAACTCGAAGACTCTGAAATGGAAAGCAGAAGCGGGGGCAGTGCCAGGTAAAGGAAACCAGCTGCAGAAAAGGAGAAGTACAAGGAAAGGAGAAGCAGAGGCAGAAAAAGCAGTGGAATCACCAGCCACCAAAATGGAAAGCAGAAGCAGGCAACAAAAGGAAACCAAGTACAGAAAGGAGAATCAGAAGCCCAGCACCGCAGAACCACAAGGCACTCAAATGGGAAGCAGGAGCGGGGAAAGAACCAGCGAAAGGAAACCAGCTGCAGAAAGGAGAAGCACAGGGAAAGGAGAAGCAGAGGCAGAACAAGTAGCAGAATCAGCAGACACTGAAGGGAAAGCAGAAGCAGGCAACAAAAGGAAACCAACTACAGAAAGGCGAACCAGAAGCCCAACGCCACAGAACCACGACACTGAGATGGAATGCAGAAGCGGGGAAAGAACCAGCAAAAGGAAACCAGCTGCAGAAAGGAGAAACACAGGGAAAGGAGAAGCAGAGACAGAACAAGTAGTAGAATCAGCAGACACTAAAGGGAAAAGCAGAAGCAGGACAGAGTCAGGAAAAAAGAAACCAGCTACAGAAAGGAGACCCAAAGGGAAAGGAGAAGCCAGGGCAGAAAAAGCAGTGGAATGAGCAGGTACATAAGAAGGGGAAAGGAGAAGCAGGCAGAGAGCCAGCAAAAGGAAGGGCAGCCATAGATTGGAGAAGCACAGGGAAAGGAGAAGTAAAGGCAGGAAATGTAGGAAAATTAGCAAACACTGAAAAGAGAACAAACAGAAGTGAGCATAGAGCCAGCAATAGGACAACAGCCACAGGAAACAGAGACACATGGAAAAGAAATATAGAGGCAAAATTGGTAGAAAGGTAGCTGAGTCAGGAGATGCTGAAAATGGGGAAATGGAGACAGAGTCATCAAGAGCAAAACAGTTACAGAAAAGAGGAGCACAAGAAAAACAGCAGATGCAGAATCAGTAGGAAAAGCAGTAGAATTAGTAGAGGTTGAAAAAATGGGAAAAGCAGAAGTGGAAGCAGAGTCAATAAAAGGAAAAATGTTGAAGAAAGGAGAAGCATTGGGAAAAGAAGAAACATCTAAAAATGGGCAAAGCACTTGAATAGACATTTCTCTACAGATGATACACAAATTACCAGCAAGAATATGAAAAGATCCTCAACATCACTAATCATGAGAGAAAACCAAATAAAAACAATGAGATAATGCACTGATTAGGATGGATACTATAAAAAAAGAAAGACAGAAAAAGAATATAAGTAAGTATTGGCGAGGATGTGGAGAAATTGAAACCCTTTTGTACTTCTGGTGGGATTGTAAAATGGTAGAACCACTATGGAAAGCAGTATGATAGCTCCTCAAAAAATTATAAGTAGGACTACCATATGATCCAGCAATCCCATTTTGGGCATATATCCAAAAGAACTGAAAGCAGAGTCTTAAAGAGATGTTTATACACGTTTACAGTGGCTGTTTTCACAATAGCCAGGAGGTGGAAGCAACCCAAGTATCCGTTGATAAATGGATAAATAAAATAAAATATAATACATACACACAATGGAATAGTATTTAACCTTAAAAAGAAAAGAAAACATGTTATATACTACAACATGAATAAATCTCAGGGACACTGCACTGAGTGCAACTAGCAGTCATAGCAGGTATTTGAAGTAATCAAATAGAAACAGAAAGTAGAATGATTGTTACTAGGGGTTAGAGCAAGAGAGAAAGGATAAGTTGTTTAATAAGTCTAGATTTTCAGTTTTTAAAAAGTTTTAAATTGCAGTTGACATTCAATATTATTTTGTACTAGTTTCAGGCATACAGCATAGTAGTGAGATAATCATATACTTTACAAAGTGTTCTCCCCAATATTTCCAGTATCCACCTGGCACCATACAAATGTATTATAACAATGACTGTTTCCTATGCTGTACATCCCCATGACTATTCTGTAACTATCAATCTGTACTTCTCAATCCCATTTACCTTTTTCACTCAATCTTTAACCCCCTCCCCTCTGGCAACAATCAGACTGTTCTATTGATGAGTCTGTTTCTGTTTTGCCTGTTTGTTTATGTTGTTCTTTAGACTTTAACTTTTGTAGGATGAAAAGTTCTGGAGATTGGTTTAATTTTAAAACAATGTGAATATACTTAACACTACTGAACTGTATACTTAAAATGGGTAAGATGATAAATTTTATATTATGTGCATTTTATAAGAAAAAACTAAAAACATTAAAAAAAAGGAAAGATTTTGGGTTTCCAGTT